AATTTGCACTGAGTCTTTTAGGAAAACATTTTCTCCTGACCCTTAAAAGGCTTTAAAACCATGTGCCAAGAATTCATCATAGCAGCAGACAACACCCAAAATATTGAGCTAGGGTTTATAAAGCCACCTCCCTCCTCGTCATTTTTTCCTTTAAAGCTTAGTTTCTTTACTTTTAATTACCAGTTCACATTTCTCTGGTTTCTCATCTTGAAATAAATGACATTCACAATCCCTTGAACTGCTTCACCTGGACTTTAGCCCCCAGGTACACATGAGATCCAGGATCCATTTTTCTTTTGCATTACCCTGCCCAGCAATTTCATTCTTTTGTCTGAAGATGAACTATTTTGCAAGATTTCTGACCTTGTCATATAAGGAAGTTCCTTCCACCCAGCTTTAACAACACAGTATCAACACCTCACACCGTAGTTCCTTAATAGTTCCACATACAGCATTTTAGTCGTTCATGCAAACTGTAAACAGCAGTGTGGAGAGGGAGGAGTTTGAGGATATGAGTCTTCCTGAGTTGAGACTTGCCCACTGGCTGCCTCAAGTATACTTTGTTCCATTGAATGTTTGCAGTCACAGAGAGAACTTAGAGTTATATGACACTCGAAGGAAAAGCAAAAGAGCATTAAGAAGTATCTGTTTTTGTTATTGCCATTTCATAAATATTTTAGTAGGTGTTCAATTTCATTGGATATTCTTTTTTTTTTAATTGTCTTTGTACCTATGATTGAAAACGGTAGTTGGTCTATGACTTTTGAGGAGGTAAGTTTCTTTTTTTAATCTATGTATGTCTGTAACATCGGTGTCTGTCTCTTTGAAAAATGCAGTATCCTCCTCCCAAAAGTTACTAACCAAACTTTCCCAGCTGTACATCTCCTATCCATAAGGGGTGAAACTATGAGGACAGTTGTTATCTGCTTTTTGTTCAAATGGTGTCAGTTGTGTGAGATGGGGAGGATATGTTTCAGACAGTGTGATGTGAATGTTAAGAGTTATGTAAGCAGTGTCTCCTGTAATCTTTTCTGAAAGGCAAGAGGGAACCAGTTTGCCTGTTTTGTTTACAGGCTTTGAGCAGTCAGCACATCTGCTTGTGTAAACTTAGAGCATGTGAATTTCTCTGGGCTGACTGAGGTTATTGGGGCTGACTTTAAGTCTGTCTCCCATGGGCAACCCTTGTTACCATTTCAAAATGAACCATGCAGGGTTACTACCTTTCCCAAGACCATCAAAACCAAACTCTCTTCTCCATTCTAGAATACAGGCAAACTTTTTCTGGAATGGGTCAGTATTGAAAACAGTTTTGGCTCCTTGAGAAGAACTGTAAAAGACAGCCAAGTAATATAAGCTCTGTTTAGCCCTCAGTAGGTAAGTGTGGGCAAGTTCTTTGTAGAAAATCTCCATCTCAGTAGCAGGGTCTTACTGTAGTGCTCAGTAGCACTCACCCTGGGTTCATACTTTGGAGGATGATACTGCATTTTTGGCCCCGTAGCTTGCTTTCCCACTTGTCTGTGAGTGCAGAGCAGGAGTCTGACACTTCCCACTGTGCTGCTTGCTTTGCAGACACTAAATTGAAGCTTCTTGCTAAAGCAAAAGCAAGTAGGCGTGCCCTCTAGGCTCTTTTGCTTTGCAGGGACCGAGACTCTCAGTTTCTCCCAAATCTTTTCCCACCCTTGCCCTTGCCCCTTTAAGTGTGTGTCTGTAAGAAAGGGTTTCAGTTGCAACAGTCATTGTAATGAGAAGTTACTAGTCAGAATTTCAGCTGAACTCACACCTCTTTCTTATATAACAGATAATCCATCAGACATTTATCTCTAATCAACAGTGAAGTAGCTACCTGGTATGATTTCTAAATACTTGAACAAAGTACTTTTCCACGAACATCCTATGACTTTACCTGGAGGTTACTTTAACTCAATTCTAAGCATATAATTGTAACCTGAAAAACTGGTAGTGGCAACATTTTCACTTGTGCCAAATGGATGTAATGTACATAATAGTCGAGGGAGGTTTTTGTACTTTGGGGTTATACAAGTACAATTTCAATAGCAATAGGACACTTAACTCGGGAATAGCTATTAAAGTAGTCTTATCTTAGTTTCTTGAAGAGATTTATCAAGAAATGAGAAAAATCTCTTCCCTGGCTAAGCAGCTGCATTGTGAAATATGTCATGTTGAAATTGTGCTGGTATTGTTACTCTTTCCTGGCTAGTAGGAAATTTATTGAAAAAGCTTCTCAAATCTTTTTTTTAAATCTAAGTTTCCTGTAAGTATATAAGTTTTTTGTTTTTTGTTTTTTTCCATGAAAAGGAGTAATAGATATATCAGAAATAAAGGCTAACTCTCCAGCCCCTGCTAGAAATTGTGTTACTTAGGCAAAGATTGAAAGATTTCATTGTAGAAGCTCTGGCTTTTTAGAAATCTGTTTTTTAGTCTCTACATTTATTATGCTTCTGTGAGAGGGTGGAACTTCTGTAGATTGAGGGAACAGACAGAATCTGATGAGTACAAGTTGCCTCTACAAGAGCATACATAGTCTTCTCAGGAACACCTGGGGAAAGAGTTCCTAGCAAGGCACCACTTCTTAGGAGTTACATTATATCTTGGTCAAAAAGGAGGATCTAATATGGTTTTGTGTAGAATATGACTTGCTAACAGAAGTGGACTTAAAATTTTTTTTTCTCATTTTGGCATCTTATCCCTTCCAATGGAATTAAAATTCTGAATTTTTTTTTCCTTAATAAAACTATTTTTTAAATCCTATTACAAATATATATTCATTGTAGAAAACTTGAAAACATTTTTAAAAGGAAAAGGACAACAGTAAAGAAAATTCACTACCTACAGTTAATATTTATTGTTTATATTGTTATAATGAGATTCTCCAGTTATTTATTGGGGTTTTCCCCCCCTACAAGGCAGTGTAAGCATTTCCTGTTATTACGTATTTCTTTCTTTCTTTTCTTTTTTTTTTTTTTTTAAAGACAGGTTCTCACTCTGTCACCCAGGCTAGAGTGCAGTGGCATGATCACAGTTCACTGCAGCCTTGACTCCCTGGGTCCAAGTGATCCTCCAACCTCAGCCTCCCCGGTAGCTGGGATCATGTGTGTACACCACACCACCCAGCTAATTTTTTTTTTTTTTAGATGGAGTCTCACTCACTCTGTCATCCAGGCTGAAGTGCAGTGGTGCAATTTTGGCTCACTGCGAGCTCTGTCTTTCAGGTTCAAGCAGTTCTCCTGCCTCAGCCTCCTGAGTAGCTGGGATTACAGGTGTGTATCACCATACCCACCTAATTTTTGTATTTTGTTTGAGTAGAAATGAGATTTCACCATGTTGGCAAGGCTGGTCTTGAACTGACCTCAAGTGGTCCGCCCACCTCAGCCACCCAAAGTGCTGGGATTACAGGCGTGAGCCACTGCGCCTAGCTGTACCCAGCTAATTAAAAAAATTTGTTTTGTAGAGATGGGGTATTGCCATGTTGCCGAGGCTGGTCTTGAACTCCTGGGCTCAAGCAATCCTCCAGTCTCAGGCTCCCAAAGTGCTGGGATTACAGGCACGAGCCACTGCATCCAGCCTTCTCCAGTATTTTAACACTGAGTCGAATTCTATTGTGAATTTATTTAAAGTATGAAAGTGATTTGGGATTGTTTTTATCTTTTTTAGTAGATATGTTTTTCAATAATGTTTTAATATTCTCCAACTTTTCTAATTTTTTTCCAAAAAAAAAAAAAGACAGAAATGGGCCCTGGTGGCTGGTTAATCAAGGTGCAATGTTTCTTAGCCCTTCTTTTAAAACACAGGAAAAAGAAAGAAATTGTCTTCTCTTTCAATATAGCAAACACCAGGTTGTTATATAGAAGATAAAATTAACTTCACATTGCCTGGTATGGTATGATAAACTATCTTCCAAACAATATATTTGTCTTCTAGTTTTGTGTCACTGCTTTGTCAAAGGTTTTTGACAAAAAAAAAAAAAGGTTTTTGCCACCTTTGCAGAAAACACTGTTAGGAGAGTAAATCTGAAAAACAGGAAGGTCTGGTGACATTAGTCTTTCCTGTCAGCTGTCTTTTGAATCTCCTATAACTGTTAACAGTAGCAAAAAAAGTAATTTTGATACTTTGGAATGGAAGACATGAAATAACTATTCTGAAAATAGTTGTGAACATACCAAGTTCACAGTGTTTAGTTAAGGAAAGACCTTGCTTCATAAGAATTAGTGACTTGGTTTTTTGTTTTTTTTTTTTTTTTCATTTGTTTGTTTTTGTTTTTTTATCATGTAACTTTGTTTCAGATTTTTCAAGGTCGGGGGGGCAGAAATCCTCAGTAATTTATTTTACCTGGAATGTTTTACTCTGAAGTTTTTTAAAAAACAACAAAACTAGATATGACTATTGCTGTCACCCAAAAATAGGTGTTCAGAAAAGTAAATATATTCTTACTCAAAGAATAAAAATGTCGACTGTTAGCAAAGTCATGAACCCATGTGTCATGATTCTCGATTTAATGCTCTTAAATATACTCAATATGAACCTGTCTTAGAAAAACAATTTGAAGAAATGTCTAGTGGTTTTCCCCTGTTTCATTCCTACTGTGTCTTGTGGTTTCTCTTGAGGTCAAGGGTGAGACTACCATGCATGTTTGAAATAAAGAATTGCTTGTGTCTGTGTTCTAGATCTATGTAAAAACCTCACAAGATTGGGGGGGGGGGTATGTTCAGAAAGTTTGCTTTTTGTGGCACATGTTTTATAATGAAGTTCCATCTTGAGAGTTTAAGGGACAAGTTTCACCGGGTAGAGAACCGCATCTGCATTGCTAGCTAAACTCACTGTTGTTTCCCATACAGCAATCCTGCCTTCCTGTGCCACTTGCGCCTTCTCCTTTTTACACCTTTGAAAGTTCACTTTGTTGCTTGTTTTCCCTCACTAGTTCTATTCATTTCTGTATGTCCAGACACTAATGCCCACCTCCGGCTGTTGTTCTTTTTCTGCAGAGGGAGAACCGAAGATTACAGGAGGCCAGCATGAGGTTGGAACAAGAGAATGATGACCTCGCCCATGAACTAGTAACAAGCAAAATTGCTCTACGGAATGACTTGGATCAGGTAAACTTTAGAAATGAGACTGTGATGACTTCCTCAGGGCAAAGACCAATTTGCCCTCACCACTGCCCCCACAAGCTTGCTTTGTTCTTGACTTTGTTCTTGATGAATGGAGGAGTGGCAGGGACAGTTTGTGTTAATTGGAGAGAGTGGAAAACACAAGCCTTTGAGAAAGGTTTGGGTCATTTCTAAATAGCGTGTGTGACATAACTTTCTTTATACCTCTAAACTCTGTTATGTCTTTGTTGATACCTTTCCTGAACCAATGGCTGTCAGCATAATTATCTGAGAACATCAGTCACCAAGAATATACCTGTACTAATGCCACTCTAACAGTAGGCACCTTACTCTTTGTTCCAGTAAGAATTCTTCTCCAGAATAAATGTGAACTTTTACATGAAGTACCTACATTAAGAGTTGGATTATTAGATTGATAGGCATCTGAGTGGCTGAGAGCCAGACTGCCCTATTGTGAATGCTGGCACCACCACTTGTGAACCATATGACCCCGGGCAGTTCTTAAGCTGTCTATAGATATAAAAAGGTGTCTATCTCATAGAGATGATATAACAAATAAGTAAAGCACTTCAATAGTATGTGTTCATTAAATGTTAGCTGTTGCTAGGAAGACCTTAAACTATTTAGCATTCCCTTGTTCTTTCCAACTAAGCTGACAGTCTTAGGACCTCCTGTTTTTTTCTTGCTAGCATTTTCAGAAATAATTGGCAATATGGAAGCAGTCTTGTGCAGATTTAAAATTACCACTCTATTTTCTGACTTCTACAAAGTAAATATTCCCAACAGATAGTGGAGGGTCAGAAAAACTGACTCGCAGACTGTTGAGTCTATAAAAGAGTCATTACCTGTGGTGTAAGTTTGCATTGACAATATTAAAAAATACAAATTCATTCATAACATAAATCTGCTTAAATGTTTAAAGTTAAAGGACAGCTGAAAATGGCCCCTGCCACAATTCCTGTTTTCCCATATAGATAGCCAATTTTGTGGCTCCAAAGTTCTAACCATAGTAAAGTTGGAGATAAGACCCATGTTCAGGAAAACAGTGCTATATCTGGGAGAGGAGGACACTGAGAGAACTGGCACTAAAAGGAGTTCGAAAACAAAAACAAAAACAAGAACTGTGTTGCTTGGGACACGATATGGAAGGTAGAAAAAGCAGCCCAGAGAATGCTTTTTTAAAAAGTTGTGGCCCTGTTAACTACAAACCTCCTTTAGCCCGCCCATTTGGAAGCTGTGAGAAGTGATATAAGAAATATGTGACTAAGAGAGTCAGAACCAAAGAAGGTAGCAGGATCTCCATTCAGTCAGGGTAAATTCAGCCTTACCTCAGTGGTCGTATTTTTGTATTCGAGACTGTTGAGATAAATCAGTGCTATAATGAAAGTCTTGGTTCTATGTTAACTTTCCAAATGGTCTTGATTCTACCATTTTGAATCTTTTATCCATTAATAATTTTCTTATGATGGCTGACTAAATGAAACAACTTTTAAACAGTTGGATTCAGTGAGGATGCAGTGAAATGAGCTAAGGAGAAATTCAAAGTTGTTTGGGAAATGTAGTTGGTAATATGCGTTAAGACTTTAAAAGGTTTAAGCAATAATAAAATTAAATTTTACTATATACCCACTATGTGCCAAGCACTAAATAAAGCAATGTATGAACATCATCTCATTTAATCTCCCTAATGACTCCAGGAAGCAGTTATTATTTTAATCTTCATTTCATAAATGAGAAAACTATATAGATGAGGAAACTAGAGATCCTCTGACTTGTAAAGCTAAAAAAAAAAAGATTTGGTAAAAAAATGTATATACAAGGTTGTTTACTGCAGTGTTACTTACAAGAATGAAGAATAGAAATATTATAATATCTATGTTCACTAGTAGGGGAGAGTGACAGTTTGACTGTCTTTCTGGAATAATTTTTTTTAAATGGGAAAATAATGATAAAGTAGTTTTTTAAAAATACTTTTTTTCTGTAAACAATAAACATTTATAATGTTTGCATCTAAATTTCAAGGGCTACTGGCTGGCACCGGGTCATCCTATTGGGAAGGGGACCATAGTATACCTAGATAGGGAAGAAGCCCATAAGGAAGTATATCAAAATGTTACTGCCAGGTATCTCTGGGTGATAAGATTAAATCTGATTTTTATATTCATCTTTATAGTTTTTTTCCCATTTAGAATTTATACAAAGACCTTAAATTAGACCTAACCACCATAGGTTAAGTAAAAATGAGGATTAGAACTTTTAAAAATCAGAAAAATAATGAACATTATAATATGCATATTATATATGAATATAATACTAAATAATATATATAACTTTAATCCAAAAAAAATTATCTTAAAAATCATTTCTTCACCAAGAGAATCCTTTATGTGAGTCAGTCTGGAGTGACTGCCATTATAGGTATTCCTGAAGTAATTGGTTATTGAGTACCGGGGTAGCTCATGATGTGAGTGCTAGAACAGCCCCTGAAGAAAAGGTTCCATCAGACCTTCATTCTTCCTCTCCCCCCTTCCCTCCTTGACTCTCCCTCTCTTTTAAGAAAAGTAAATATGACCTGGGCCCTCCCTTTTGGAGCTTTTTATCTAGATGAAAGAATCTAGATGAAAGAATAAAAACGCTATTTCATGCATATTTCCTCCTAACTTCTGATTTTGCAGTTTGCTCCTCATTGGGGTTTATTTGCCTACCAAAAAGCTGTCCCTACAGTTGAAGTGACCTGTCCCACCAGTCTTCTAGGAAAGGCCCTAGCCTGAGAGTGGCTTTGCAGGCCTTCACCCAGTTTGCCCAGTACTTTCCCATTCCCAGTTCATGAAAATCAGATCTTTTAATTAAAATAGCAAAACACTGGCAAACTTTAAACAAATATGAAAGCAGATTGTATTTAAGACGATATGTAAGGAAACAAACATGAATTAGGAAATTAGGTACTTTGCAAAAATAAATCATTCCTTACTCTGACCATTTTAGTGCTAATTTTGGGCTTCCTGGACACCAAAGGCTCTTCAGCTTTTGCCTCTGACAGAGCCTTCCTCTCTGAGAACTTGCCCTCTTTCAGATTCCTTAAATAAAGATTTCTCAGTGATTAGAAGTGAAAAAACGTACAACATCTCCATTTCAGTGTCTGTTTACTATCTGCTTTCAAGCCTTTCCTGTCCTTCCCTATTTGTAAGGAACAAAAGAGAAGAGACATGATTAGTACTGTCCTGCTGAGGACCAGGGGTCTAGGTTCCCTCTCACCATAGCAAGTTCTCTTAGACCAGAAGCTACATGGACTAAATGGAAAATTATTTTGTTTTGTTTCAAGTTGAATGACTGGCCTGGTTATTTCTTTCAGAAATCATTTCTCAAAGATCCTCCTTTCTGATATTAGGGCTGAGTCTTTGCTGAGGTTATTGGTTGATTCATGATTAAATCACACATTGCAGTGCTTGTTTCTCTCATATATGTGTAGCAGAAGCCCTGATTGCAATTAGAACTTTCAATATCAGTGAGACATTATAAGATGTTGGTAAGTGTTTAGACTTGATAATGACAATGTTTCTCTCAATCTTGTCAAATTATGGTGAAGGCTGTCGGGCGCGGTGGCTCATGCCTGTAATCCTAGCGCTTTGGGAAGCCGAGGTAGGTGAATTGCCTGAGCTTAGGAGTTCGAGACCAGCCTGGGGAACACGGTGAAACCGAGTCTCTATTAAAAATACAAAAAATTGCCAGGCGCGGTGGCTCACACCTGTAATCCCAGCACTTTAGGAGGCAGAGGTGGGTGGATCACGAGGTCAGGAGATCAAGACCATCCTGGCTAACACAGTGAAACCCCGTCTCTACTAAAAATACAAAAAATTAGCTGGGCAGGGTGACAGGCGTCTGTAGTCGCAGCTACTCGGGAGGCTGAGACAGGAGAATGGCCTGAACCCGGGAGGCAGAGCTTGCAGTGAGCCGAGATCACGCCACTGCACTGCAGCCTGGGCAATAGAGCGAGACTCTGTCTCAAAAAAAAAATACAAGACATTAGCCAGGCATGGCGGCACGCACCCGTAATCCCAGCTACTGGGGAGGCTGAGACAGAAGAATCTCTTGAACCTGGGAGGTGGAGGTTGTAGTGAGCTGAGATCACACCATTGCACTCCAGCCTGGGTGACGGAGCGAGACTCTGTCTCAAAAAAAAAAAAAAAACTTATGGTAAAGACTTTATAATTTGGGCTCAAAGGTAGAATTTGAAAGGCTTTATCATTTGAGCTCAAAGGTAGAATTTGAGTATCCATGTGTTTAGCATTTCATTCATTAACATTAAAGCTAATTCCTACTTAAGTGAGGTATAGTGGTTGACTGTACAAAGATTCAAAAGACCACTGTTAGAGGGATACTCAAGTTATTTCAGATCTGGCCATACTTTGATGAACAGAACAATTGCTCCTACTTTGCTGTTTAACATAAGAGGAGAAACTGTCGATTAAGCTTCCTGGAAAACTGGACTCTTCCCTATAGGACCTGATATTAGGGCTGAGTCTTTGCTGAGGTTATTGGTTGATTCATGATTAAATCACACATTGCAATGCTTGTTTCTCTCATATATGTGTAGCAGAAGCCTTGATTGCAATTAGAACTTTCAATATCAATGAGACATTATAAGATGCTGGTAAGTCTTTAGACTTGATAATGAGAATATTTCTCTCAATCTTGTCAAATTATGGTGAAGGCTGTCGGGCGTGGTAGCTCATGCCTGTAATCCCAGCACTTTGGGAAGCCGAGGTAGGTGAATTGCCTGAGCTTAGGAGTTCGAGACCAGCCTGGGGAACCCGGTGAAACCGAGTCTCTATTGCAGTTTCCTCCTTATTGGGGTTTATTTGCCTTTTGCTCTAGATATCTAGATTTTGCTCTAGAAATAAGTGAAGTTGCCTTAATCTTGACCTAATGAAGACTGTTTGGCAGAAAATGTGCAAATAAAAATAATAGGTCTTCTTAACATAAACATTTAGGTGTTTTTGAAAAAAATTCCTCAGGGAAGTGCTTTTCCCCGTTTTCTTTTTCTTTCTTTCTTTTTTTATTTTTTTTTGAGACAGAGTCTACCTCTGTAGCCCAGGCTGGAGTGCAATAGCACGATCTTGGCTCACTGCAACCTCCATCTCCTGGTTTCAAGCAATTCTCCTGCCTCTGTCTCCCGAGTAGCTGGAATTACATGTGCCCACAACCATGCCTGGCTGATTTTTGTATTTTTAATAGAGATGGGGTTTCACCATGTTGGCCAGGCTGATCCCAAACTCCTGGCTTCAGGTAACCCACCCGTCTCGGCCTCCCACAGTGCTGGATTACAGGCGTGAGCCACCACGGCTGGCCAGCATTTACTTTATAACGTTTTTGCAAAATGTTAAAATTTTAGATGGCTCTAAACTGAAAAAACCAAACTGAAGTTTCAGAGACCAAACTGAAAAAAAACATTTATTTTAGTATCATGATGAACATTATGAAAGGATCAGTTTCTTCACAAAGTGGAAATTGCTGTGCGTCCTGTTAAGAGGAAGGCTTAGTTGTAGTCTTCTTTTTTAGCAGGGCTCAAACATTCTGGGGTAGAACCTGAACCAGTGGGCTGCAGTTACAGGGAGAGAGTTGGTTCAGTTTTTAAGAACACTGAAATGAGCAGTATAGCTGCTCTTAAAGTGCCACTCTGTGCCCATCTGTCAGAGACTTTGGGAAGGTCTCCCTGCTTTGTGAGTAACCTCAGTCAGTCATCTGGCTTGGGGCTCTTGAATAGAAGTTTTGTGCTTCCATGGTTTATTTATTTATTTTTCTCTTTTTGTTTTCTTTTAAAATGCCATACTTTATGCCAGATGCTTCCATGATGTACATCAGGTGTCTTACAACTTAACTGAAAACTTAACTTGTAGTGTTCTCATTGCATTCTCGAGGTCTACCTCTCATTTTAGTATGTTAATTTGCTGTTAGATTTTCCCCCCTAAAATCTAATGCATCAGAGCAATTTTTAGTGTCTTAAAGACTTTTAAGGGACTTTTTCACCTTGACTACCCAACGGTTTCAAATGATCTGCAAACAGAGCTCTAACCACTGGGCTATGAGCCATCAGGAGCCAGAAGACAGGGCAAGCAGAGCAGCTGGAATGCAGTTTCTCTACAGTCACCAGCAGACTGTGCTGGCCTGGCCATCTGGGTGTGCAGGAGATATGGCAGAAAACAGAGAGAAGGCCGCTTGGCCAGTCCTCAGCAGACTGGGCTGGCCTGGCCCATTTGGACATATGGGAGATATGGCAGAAGACAGACAGAAGGCCACTCAGCCAGTTTTCACCATTACTTGGATAGCATTTTGCTGCTGTCAGCCAGGGATAGCTTCTTCACATAATTGCCTCTCCTCTGTGTCTGGGTTCACTCTGCTGAACTCATCCTGTGGTCTTCTGCCATCTCCACCACATGCAGTCTACATCTGCAATGATTTAGCCACACCTCTTCATTCAACAAGTACTTAGGGAGCACCTATTGTGTACTTGGCATTGGGCTTGGTGCTTGGGATAGAGTGATGAGCAAAAGAGATATGGTTCTTGCCTCCTGGAGCTTAACGCCTAGTGAGCAAGACAAATAAATCCCATGCATAAGTTGTCATGACAGTCCTATCATGGGAAATATGAGAGATTTAGATAGGGGAGCTAACTTAGATGGGGGTGAGTGGGCCAGGGCTGAGGGCATGCTTCATTGCCATGTGAACTTGAAGTCGTGGCCTAAAAGGTGAGAGCCCGGCATGTTAAATAGACATCATCATTCTAGAAATACGATCTTTTCTTCCTGGATTCCTGGTCCATATTTCCATTTTCTTCATGGCTCTCTCTGTCATGGATTTTTCGTCTTAATTTCTCCTTACTAGACTCACTGCCCTGTGTGAGTGGCCATGTGGGCAGGTTTACCTCAACTAGTCCTTGAATTTATCACCTAATTGTTGTCCTCAGACCAGCCTGTCTGCTCCTCCTCTCTGAGTCAACCCTCATTCTCTACCAGTTGGAAGTTTCTGTGTGAGGCTCTACCCCTTCATCAGATCCGTCTGCACAGAGTGAGTGCTGTTGTAACATCTAAAAACTCTGTAAGAAGCATTTAGAAAGAGGATGGACTTTGATGTTATTCAAATCTGAATTCAGATCATGACTCTATTAAATGTGTGACCCCAGACAGTTTGTTGGATCTTTCCAAACCTCACTGTCATTATCTGTAAAATTATTGTTGGTGTGTGGATTAGAAATAATGTGCTCCAACTAGCTGGCACATAGTTGGCATTCAGTGAAAGCAGTCATCCCTTGGTTGAGCTAGGAGGGAAAAGAATGACTTGCAATAATTTTGGAACAGCAACTGAAGATTGGGTTTGGAGAAAATTTCCACACACTTTCTTTGCCCTATGTGTGACTGTGATTTGCAGGCAGAAGACAAGGCAGATGTGTTGAATAAGGAACTCCTCTTGACCAAACAGAGGCTGGTGGAGACTGAAGAGGAGAAGAGGAAGCAAGAGGAAGAGACTGCCCAGGTAAAAGGAATATGTAGGCTTTTCTTTGCAAAGGTATGTTGGTAGGGAATTGATTAATACTATAAAAAATCAGGAAAATTAAATTTCTTCTAAATCAAAGGTGATGTTAAAGCAGTAATGTAAGTAATTGAGTGTACTTACTCAACATTTTTGTTCAACATTTCTGACATCTTTTTTTTTTTTGAAGGGTGTTAAAAGAGGAGGCAGTATTTCTACCCTTGAACAGCTTTTAGGAATTTGCCTTTACTGAGATATTTAGCAAGAGTGTTGAGTTTTCTCTAAGTTTAGTAACTTGGAATTATGATCCAAGAGCTTTGACGAATCTGCAAATTTTGTGTTGTATCTCCAAGACAAAGACTTCTCTGAAGTAGTTTATGAGCATTGTTAAACCGAAAGCCTACAGAGACCTCTGCTGGGAGTTGCCACACAGCCCCTGCCTCAATCAGTCACACTTCATTTTCCTGATTCGCACCTTTAGGAGCATCAGTATTCCTGGCAAAGCTTTCAAACCTATTTCCTGGGGGAATATAAAGAAACCTTTTGAGAAGCAGCCTTGAAGTTAGCACCCTACACTCTTCATGGGAGCTGTAAGGCTAATTAGCTAGAAAATGCCACCAGTGCAGAGCAGTGTAGGACAGGGGCAGAGAGGCCTATTGGCCCAAGGAATTTGAGCTTTCCGCTTCCCCAAGGAAGAACATGCTGCTTCATCAATGTTTTCTACCCCTGGCAGTCCCAGCCAGGGACCTGACACAGATTAGATTATGAGTCAGTTTCATCACAAACAATTGAAGTCTTCTGCCAAGAGTGTGTTTGAATTTTACTAATGTAGCTAACTTACAAAGTGAGGAAGCATCTCAAATCGTGATTAGCTTATTTTAATGAGTTTCATTCTGAGACATCAGTAATACTAAATTTAAAGCACAGCATAAAGCATTTCAAAGATCTACATCCAAGCAACCAGAAAAAAAGTTCCACTAAAGTTACATGTGGAGGAATGTGTCATTTAGCACCTTCCAGACTTTATAAAAAGTGTTCCATGGTTTCTTTTTCCTTGGAATCTGATTTAGTGAGTTTTTGGCATTTACAGCGGTCCAAGATATATATTTTTTACCTACTCAAAAATTTTCAGGGGCTGATTACCCAGTTTTAGATTATTTAGATTCCTTAATGGGTTTTGTTTTTTCTTTACTTCCTGCCATCTTTGGACCACTTAAGCTACTCTAGATGAGGAATAAAGCTCTTGGCAAATGAACTTCACCCAGGTTCTACCTGCTCCATGGTTCCATAGACATTACTAGCCTGTAGGCAATTGATACCTAAAATGGGAAGGAATGTGACATTTGAATACTCACCTAGTATATGGCAAGAACAATGCAAGATGCTTTGCACCCTCCCTCCCCTCCATGTGTGTGTCTGTCTGTGTGTGTGTCTGTCTGTGTGTGTGTAACTGTTTTAATCATTATGGTACCCTTGTAAAATAGGGATTATTCTCATTTTCAGAGGAGGAAACTATGGCTTAGATAAATTTAGTGACCCTTGCTCAGAGACTCTCAGCCAGCCAAGTCTGTCCTAACATCAATGGGGCCTTATCGTGGGAGGCAAGAAGGTTGTTGTTTATGTCCTTAAATTGGGTCAGATAGAGAATAAAGATCAATATAAACAATGGAGTTTAGATCAGTGTAACTTACCAATTGCTTTTAGAATTTTAGAATCTAACAGATATGAAGAAATTCAGAAATCTAATGAGGAGTGCAGTTATAAATTGCAATAATTTATGAACTAGCAATTACAGAGTATACGCCATTAATAATTTGAGATGCTGTACTGCAGAATGCATCTCTTTATTCTGATTATGTACTTAAAGTTTAAGCAGAGTTGTTTTTTGTTTGTTTCATTACTTGTTTGTTCAACAACTTGCAGAATTTAATTCTTTCCTTTGTATCTGGTAGCACCTGAGCTTTTCCATCACCTTCATTTTCCTATATGCCTAGAATTCTAGAGATTCTGGGCCACAAAAATAACTGTGGTTGTAACTATAGCATTCATAATTTGACATTTCAGTGACTGTAACAAGTACCTTCCATTATGTGTCACTTTAGCTCCTTCTAAAGTCAGTTTCTTTAGTCCCTGAATCTCCTGTCCTTCTCAAAAGCTCTTATTTTCTTCCATCTTTTCTAACTCTAGTCTCCAAAGCCTCTTGTTTCTGTCTCTAGAGAGGTAACAGCAGTAAAGGTAGACTATAAATAAGAAGGCCTACAATGATTTTTTTCAGTAATTTATAACGTCAAGAGTAACAAATTTAGCATGCAGTATCCTTGATGTTTTGTTTTAGACTCTTATAAGGATAAAGATAGCTTCAGAATGGACACTTATTTAGCAATATGTTTAGAAGTAGCATAAGCAATTTTATAATGGTGTTGCTCATATGTCTCATATTTTGTAGAAAAGAAAGTAAGGTTTCTGCATCTCTGGAGATGATTGACTTTTTCAGATTATCAAGATGCAGCTTCTATGAAGATAATTTATATAGTTAACATTGTTACCATTGTTACTGACTATGAATCAGACAGACTTGAATATAGATGTTTATGAAAATTTATTAAGATTTTGGCTGAATCCTGATATTTCTCATTCTGTTCTTTCTAGCTAAAAGAAGTCTTCAGGAAACAGCTAGAGAAGGCAGAATATGAAATAAAGAAGACTACAGCTATCATTGCTGAGTATAAACAGGTAATGTACCTCTGTGGCACATAGAGCTAGTTATAGTTTGCTGCTATAAAAGTAATTTAAAAATTTTTTTTTTTGCTTAAGGCCAGGAGTTTGAGACTAGCCTGAGTGGCATAGCAGGATCCCATCTCTACAAAGAAAAAAATTTTTTAATTAGCCAGGCATAGTGGCGTGTGCCTATAGTCCCAGCTACCTGGGAGGCTGAGGCAGGAGGATCACTTGTACCTAGGAGTTTGAGGCTGCAGTAAACTATGACTGCACCACTGCACTACAGCCTGGGCAACAGAGCAAGACCCTATCTCTAAAATAAATAAATAAATAACTAATTATTGTTGCTTTTCTTTGGGAAAGAAATATTTTTGTTTTTAAAGTTTCCAGAATAGTTTTCCAGATTTATTAAATTTAGTGACTCACTCTCTCCTTTGAAGCAGACAGTGGTTGGACATATCTATTACTTATAGCTTATTACTTATAACTGATAACTTGGGAGGTCTAACTGACCAAAACAATCTATTGGTTGTTTACAATGTTAAGTAGATTTAGAGGAATAGAAAACCTTTTGATGACTACTGAGACCCTGTTTCTGCCTTACTCAGATGCTAATTTCCAGTAGATCACACTCGGAACATCTGCCTCTTTGCAAAGTTTAGTTATTGTATTAAACGGCAGTAGCTGGGGGATCAGTGTATCCTTTGCTACCACAGTACAGAATGTGGTGGGCACTCTTTTTCCCACATGGCTATGTGGCCTTCCCCTCTGCAGGCCAGTGCTAGCAGGAAGCTTTCTATTGTGAACCTTAAAATGCTTTTAACAAAGGGCTCATCTTCTTGAGGATGTTTCTGGCCCCATCACCAGAATGGTGTCAGAAAGCCCCCCGTTCCTGGTATCTACTGGTACCTTCCTGTCCTTCCTGTTGGCTGGACATGGCAAGGACTCCTCTCATTGCTGAGACCCTGCGTGATCTGTTCAAATTCCAGGTTTCTAGAATTAATTAAAGTACCATATGCCATCTTCTCATCTAAGGATTTCCCTGGGGTCTTCTACTTCACATAGGACTCTGAAGTCTGATACTTACTTTTTTTAAAAAAATGTGTTTTTTTGCTTATAAATTAAATTTGTGTTCTTGTGGAAAATTAGAATAGTGCAGAGAAGCACAAAGAAAACAAATCTCCCTCAATCTTTCTAGCTAATCATTGTAATATATTGAATATGCATTGTTGCTATACAAATGCTTTATAAATAAATTTATAATATATATAAACAGGATGAATTGTATTGTTTATCCTATTTTTTTGTAACTAGCTTTAGTTCACTTAATACATTATGAACATCTTTCCATAAGGAATCTGCATACTCGCGGAGGACTGAGAAATAAAACTTTAGAGCTATTTTACTTTTCTATGATAATCAACATATGTTTATTTAATGCCTGCTCTCTGTGAGGCTTAATACTTTGACAGACAAAAAGATGAATGAATTCAAGTTTTCTTCTCTAGAAGCTTATCATATAATGTGGAGATAATACCTATGCAGAAATAAGAGGAAAGGAAACTTATTACGTGTGGGAAATGAATCCTTTTGAGCTGCGCTTCAAAGGCTAGGTAAGACTTGGATCTGTAGAGATAAAGAAGACAAAGAAGAGGGTGGAAATGGTAGAAAAGAGGGAACAGGATGTGCAAAGGCATGGAAGTAGATTAGTGAAGAGAAAAATAATTCATTTAGTAAGAGATTCCAGTACAAAAGAGAAGCAAAGGGACGTTAGGGTCCAGATCAAGGAAAGATCCAGGACTAGGCTTGGGACCTTGAATTTTATTTTGTTTGTGGTAGGACCTTTTTTAGCAGTAAAGTGGCATAATCAAAGACGTATTATTGGCACTAATCTGTCCCAATAAGAAATGTGGAACCAAGGAGACAGACCACAAATACCAGAGTCCAAGTAAGAAGAACCAGGTCCCTGAATTCACAAAAGACAGTCTTTTTTTTTTTTTCTCTAGACAAGAGAAAACCTTGAAGGTGATCTGAGATGTTGAATGTGGGCATCTAGGAGAAGAGGTGGTAGACATTAACCAATATAAGGAACATTAAAGACCATGTGTTGTGGAATTTCCCATCGCTACAAATGCATGTTTTTCATTGCCAGATTATGCCATGGATGGCCACCAAATGCAGCACTCTTCAAATAGTAATCCTGGGGACTATTCTTGAATATTATCTGGCAAGCCCTTGAAATAACGCAAAAGGCAACAGACCCATCTGTTTGAAGATAATTAGGATATAAGACACAATCTAAATGTATTCTATAGTTGGAATATAGCTATTACTGGCTCTGTACATAATGTTTTGGTTTATTTAAAAGGGTTTAAGGTTTGCAGAATCTACCATGGTAATCTCTTCTTTTTAGTATCAGTCAGTACAGTCCTACTAATGGTTCCTCAGGCTTGGATCTGGAGAATTGGAATGAAACTCAACAAACTAGACTCAGCAAGCAAGCCCTCATCTCCAGAGCTATTTTTGAGTAAATTGGGATTGTTTTTTAACGTATGTTTTGAAGTACAAACAAACTTGTTTGTAGAGGTAGACCATATATGTTTATAGCCAAAATTGTACTTTAAAATTTCACATCCCCTGTTTTTCCATCTTTTTTTTGTTTTGTTTTGTTTTGTTTTGTTTTGTTTTTTGTGAGACAAGGTCTTGCTCCATCACCCAGGCTGGAATGCAGTGGTGATACAGTGGCCTGAACACAGCTCACTGCAGCCTTGACCTCCTGGGCTCAAGCTATCCTCTCACCTTTCATCCACTTTTCTAAAATAAAAGATTCTTATTTCAGGCAATGGATTTGAATATCCAATTTCTATTTCTACGATCTATCTATTTCTATCATTTCTTTTTTTTTTCTACCATTTCTAATACTTACTAGCACCTTATTTCAGAATCAAAAATAATAATAATAGATTTTATTTAATGTACCCTTACTATTGGCCAGGTGCTATGCTAACCCCTTTGCATACTTTTTTTCCACTTGATTGCTATAGCACAGCACTTTTTAGTCATGAGAAAACTGAGTCTTGGAAAGATTAATGACTTTGCCCAAGCTCACAAAGCTATAAAGAAATGGAGTTTGCTTTAAACTCACATTTAACTCCAGCAGCTAAGCTTTTAATTTCTATGCTGTGTTGCCAAACCTACTTAATAAGAGTTTTAGTCTGTATTAAGGTATTTTTCCTAATGTTATGCCTCCCGTAGTCCCCCACCCTTCCACCAGGCCCCGGTGTGTGATGTTCCCCTCCCTATGTCTATGTGTTCTCATTGTTCAACTCCCACTTATGAGTGAGAACATCACTCTGCCACTTCTTAAGGAAACTTTTGTGATTGAAAACAGGTTCTTTCTGTAACAGTAGACAGGAGATATTTCTGTCTAGAATTCTTTTCATCAAGATTTTCTCAGCATACTAACTTATAGAAAGTGAATACTCAGCAAAGATTCTATAGGTTAATTCCAAAAGTGAAGCCAGGAATTCACTTGAACCAGTCACAGAAGGCTAGTGGCAGAAAGAAACTAAATCTACCCCCTGTATGTTTCTACTAATTAAGGTAGAGTATGCTTTACATATGGAACGTTCCAGCTTTCTGCTGCTCATTTCCCAAATGACTGGCATTTGCAGTGCTATTCATTTGCAAAATTCCTTCTAGGATCAGATGTGCTAGAGTAACATATGAATTGATAAGTAGTTATGTGTACATGCTGCAAGAGTTCTGTTTTCTAGTAAAAGACTCTTTTCTCATCCTTAGATCTGTTCACAGTTGAGTACCAGGCTGGAGAAACAGCAAGCAGCCAGCAAGGAGGAGCTGGAAGTGGTAAAGGTAAGGAGGGAAATCGTCCTGTGATAAAATTTATTTCAAAGTCCCACAGGCTTGTAAGTACCCAAAAGAATCCCCAACACCACCATTTTTATTAAAGGATTTATTAATAGGAATTAGGGAGACTAGGATACCTGTCTTCTGACTGGGTGTGATTGTCTTCCCTGCCAGCTGAAAGGTTATGATGCTCCCATAAATCATGTGGACTGTCAAAGGCAGCTAACATGAAAGGAGGTGGAATTGGACATTGTCGCAAGAAGCCCCAAAGCTTGAGATGAGCCATGTAGCTTTCTTTGGTGGTGTGAACCTGAGAACCCTCAGCAGCCCACATCTGACTGAGCCTGCATTGATGTGGCTTCAGTATGGGACTCAGTGGGATCATCCCGTCACTCTCTTTATAAGTAAACACCATGGGCAATGTAGAACTTAGCTGGAAAAACATGTGTTGGATAACTGATTCTTGCACTAAGTTTTAGAGGTTTATTTTTGAAGAAAACCTGTGGCATTTGTTTACTTGCTGCCCCCTGGTGGTAAAATGCATTATGTTGCTGCTCTATTTGAAAAAAACAGATTGCTTATTCCATAGAAACAACAGTAAACCAATGAATTGGTATTCTTAAGAGGCAGTGTTGTCACAGTCAACTTTTGGGACCAGTGTTACAGAAACCTGACATCATCTTATTTGAATATGTTCAGATTTCATACTAGTAAATAAATGTGTATTAAGTAATTTAGCATATAATTTAACAATCTTGAAAAGTGATTTAACCTTTCTAAGCTTCATTTTGTGTTCTATAAAATGGAGATAACATTACCTGCCTCATAAAATCATTCTGAATGTTAAATAAGATAATGACTATAAAGTATATGGTGTATATAAAGTGCTTAGATTAGTACCTGACATATAAGACCTTGTATTCCAAAAGTATTTTCTTCTTACTCATATTACAAAATATTAATCAGAGATTTAGTGAGTATAGGGTTTGGTGGTCTCCCTCTCTGATGAGATAAAATTTGATGTTTGTATCTTCCCTTTCTGGTCTACCTTTGCACTTCTTTCTAGTTAGCACTTATCACTCTTTGTACATTATAGGCATACTGACCAAGATTCAGTTGATGAAGTGTCGTGGTGTAAAGGGGTTAACTATCCTGAAGTGAATTTTTTTTTCTTTATTTCTTCTTAAAAAAAAAAAACAAAGGGGGATACATGTGCAGAAGGTGCAGGTTTGTTATATAGGTATACATGTGCCATGGTGGTTTGCTATGCCTGTTAACCCGTCCTCTAAGTTCCCTCCCTTCAGTCCCCATCCCCAACAACAGGGCCTGGTGAGTGTTGTTCCCCTCGTCTGTGCCCATGTGTTCTCAATGTTGAACTGAAATCTTTATGGAAATAACAAAATGAGAATTTTTATTGATTACTCACTGAAGGTTTTACTGAGCATACACTATGCGCATAGCTATTAGACTGCCATTTTGTTATAGAAATTACCCATGAAAAGGAGCTTAAAATTTTCCTGTAGGACAAGTTACACATGCAAATTAAGAACTTAGGAAGCAGTTCAAGGGAGCTCAGCTGGGCCAGGTGCAGTGGCTCACGCCGGTAATCCCAGCACTTTGGGAGGCTGAAGTGGGCAGATCACCTGAGGTCAGGAGTTCAAGACCAGCCTGGCCATCATGGTGAAACCCTGTCTCTACTAAAAATAACAAAAATTAGCCAGGCATAGTGGCTCACACCTGTAATCTCAGCTACTCGGGAGGCTGAGGCACGAGAATCACTTGAACCCAGGAGGCGGAGGTTGCAGTGAGCCAAGATTGTGCCATTGTACTCCAGCCTGAGCAGCAGAGTGAGATTCCATCTCAAAAAAACAAAAAACAAAAAAAAGTGCTAAGCTGGATCACACTGACAATCAGCATCGTAGAGAAAACAAAATCATGAGAACTATAGACCAAAAAAGCAGGGTGGATAGAAATTAGTTAGAGAGAAGTGTTTAAAAAGAACATTACAGAAGAAATGATGTGAGTGAAGACCCAAACATAGGAATGAGTGTGGCTTTATCATCAATAAAAAAGAAGATATACTGTCTTTTTAAAAAAATTATATTAATGATAAATGATTATCATTAATCGTTTAACTATAAATGAGTATTAATACTCATTTTAGGAATGAGTGTTTCAGTGTCTCATTACAGAGAGTGATGTGGTTAGAATATGTATGAAGGAACAGAGGAAAATATTGGCTAAGTAGGTGAGACTGCCTAATGAAAGTCCATGACATTCAAGAAGAGGAATATAAACTTGTCTTAGCCAGAATAAAGAACAACTAGGCTCACGCCTGTCATTCCAACACTTTGGGGAGGCCTAGGTGGGTGGATCACTTGAGTCCAGGAGTTCAAGACCAGCCTGGGCAACTTGGTGAAACCCCGTCTCTACAAAAAATACAAAAATTAGCTGGATGTGATGGCATGCACCTGTAGTCGTAGCTCCTCAGGAGGCTGAGGTGGGACGATTGCTTGAGCCCAGGAGGCTGAAGCTGCAGTGAACTGTGAGCATGCCATGGCACTCCAGCCTGGGTGACAGTAAGACCCTGGTACAAAATTAAAAAAAATAAAAAAGACAGTATATCTTCTTTTTTATTGATGATAAAGCCACAAACAGGTAATTCATTTGATCAAGGTTACACAGCTAGTAGAACCAGGATTTAAGCCTGGAAGTCAGACTCTAAAGTCAGTAACATTAGCCATTAGACTATACCACCTCCTGTTTCTCTAGTGCTTCTTCCTATCTCATTTGGTATGATAAATAGCTTTTGTTTTTTTCAGTTTCCTATAATAACCTTCTTTTGTCATGATCACACCCCAGTTCATCCTTTACACTATAATCAGAATGAGTGTTCCCAAATATAAAGTGATATTTGACTATCATTCTGTGTATCAACGCAGAATTAGATTGGCCACATATAGGGAACCCAGAATAGCATTGGCTTAACCATAAAAGGTGTTGATTATTTTACATAAAAGCAGCTTAGGACTAGAAAGGTATACCCTTGGTGTCATTAGTAACCCAAGCTAATCAGTCATTAGTGACCCACATCTTCATGTGGACTTCTATCCTCAAGGTCACCTAGAAACCAATCCTTTCTTCTTTTTTTTTTTTTGGCTTTTTTTTTTTTTTTTTTTTTTTTTTTTTGAGACAGAGTCTTGCCCTGTTGCCCAGTCTAGAGTACAATGGCACAATCTCAGCTCACTGCAACCTCTGCCTCCCGGGTTCAAGAGATTCTCCTGCCTCAGCCTCCCGAGTAGCTGGGATTACAGGCACGCACCTCCACGCCCAGCTAATTTTTGTATTTTTAGTAGAAAAATACAAAATACATGGTTTACCATGTTGGCCAAGCTGATCTCGAACTCCTGACCTTGTGTCCCACCCACCTCGGCCTCCCAAAGTGCTGGGATTACAGGCGTGAGCTGCCATGCCCAGCCCAAAACCAATCCTTTCAACTAGAGCTCCCACCATCACACCCATACTCTAGGGCAGAATTTTAGTCCGAAAGGAGATGCAGGATATAAAGGCCTCATTCATCTGGGTGAGCTCTTTCTAAGCAGCCTTCTTAGAAGCTCCCCTCTAAACTTCTGCTTACATAGCAGCTTTGAGGGAATTTAGGGAGTGTCACCTTTTATCTAGACACACTGCCAGCTCAAATAAACTCAGGGTCTGTTAGGAAGAAGGAGAAATGGATATTGGGTGAGAATCAGCAGTATCCATCACATTTTAGCAGGTCTGCCAAACTGCAGCTCTGTCAAACTTATTGCTCTATCTTTGACATGTAGCACCAGGCTCGGTAGAGTAAATGAATGCATTTTCTGTAGGATAAAATCAGAATTCAGCAACATGGTATTTAAGGACCTTTATGACCCAGGCACAGCGATCTCTCATCTCGCTCATTGTTGTATCACTTGCTGCTTAAGCCATTTTGAATTCTTTGAAGTTATCTGAAGGTGCTATGTCTTTGCACATGGAGGTGTTCTCTTTGCTGAAATGTCATCCTCCCTCTTATGTGATCAATCTATTTCTTCATGTGGTTCAACCTAATAAAATTACTTAGCCAACTCAGTAAATTTTTAATCATTTAAGACTCAGATCAAAAGCTATTTAACATTTTTAGTCAAGAGTAAACACACAACAAATATTTACAATATGCCTATACTGGGCTAATTATTCTCAGAGGTTCTTAAGTAACAGAATGACAAGTTTTGTTTTTTCATGTCTAATGAATATTAATGAACAGGAATACAAAGAGTGGATTATGGATGGGATGAGAGGAAGCCAGTGAGTACTTAGAAGGCGACCCTTCGGGATTCAGCCTGGAATGGCAAGAGCTCAGACATGTCAGAAGAGAAATTTTTTTTTTTTTTTCTTTTTGAGATGGAGTCTTGCTCTGTCGCCAGGCTGTAGTGCAGTGGTGCGATCTCGGCTCACTGCAATTCTCGCCTCCTGGGTTCACACGATTCTGCTGCCTCAGCCTCCCAAGTAGTTGGGACTAGAGGTGCGTACCATCATGCCCAGCTAATTTTTGTAGTTTTAGTAGAGACGGGGTTTCACCATGTTGTCCAGGATGGTCTGGATCTCAACCTCGTGATCCACTCACCTCGGCCTCCCAAAGTTCTGGTATTACAGGCGTGAGCCACTGCACCCGGCCCAAGAGGAAGAAATTAATGGTCAACCGGATGATGAAAGAGAAGCTAATGAAAAGATGATCCAAAGTCTTCAGGCCCAAATGGTGGAGACATGCCCAGTGGCACAGAAGTGTGGTGGAGACTTGCTTTTTGTGTGTGAAGAGAGGAGGATGGGCATGGTGATGGACACATGGAGCTTGTTGTAGCAGTAGGGCATCAAAGTAGAAATAGCGTGTAATATCTTTTACCTCTACTGAATTATTTTTTAAAATACTTTAAGAAAACAACAGCACTATTGTCTGGAAAACAGCTGCTGCTGTTCAGTGCTATGCGCCCAAATGGCAATCTGGGCATGTGGTAGTTACTTTTTTTTTTTTTTTCTGAGATGGTGTCTTATTCTGTCGCCCAGGCTGGAGTGCAGTAGTGCAATCTCAGCTCACTGCAACCTCCACCTCCCGGGTTCAAGCGATTCTCCTGCCTCAGCTTCCCGAGTAGCTGGGACTATAGGCGCATGCCACTACACCTGGCTAATTTTTTGTATTTTTAGTAGAGATGGGGTTTCACCATGTTAGCCAGGCTGGTCTCAATCTCCTGACTTTGTGATCCACCCACCTCAGCCTCTCAAAGTGCTGGGATTACAGGCATGAGCCACTGCACCAGGCCGGAGTTACTTTTATTACTTTAAACAATAGGGGTCCTCTTTGCTTAAAACTCAACAACAGAACATGTGCTTTGTTGCAAGGGTAGATTTAGGCTAGTCATGATGACCATCCTCAGTCTACTATAGGGAAGTTCTTTAAACTCTGAGTTTCTTTCTTTATGAAATGAGGATGATGATAGTGCTTACTTACAGAGTTGCTTTAGGATTAGTAAAATACTAGAAGTAAAGCATTTGGTGTGGTGCTTGGCATCTGGTAAGAATAATGATAGCATAAAATTTCTAGAACAGATTTCAAAGAGATGCTACAATACTTTCTATTTCTAGGGTATTTCTAGAGATACTTCAGGAAAAAGGAGTACCCGTCTTGGATAGTTGGGTTCGGGCTGACTAATGATTTTGATTGCAGCACAAGAAAAATAACCTTCAGAAATGGGCCTGCATTCGTGACAATAAACAGCATCTAAAAAAGTCATATATTGTTTCAGAAAGTGATTTAGCCTATGGAATACAGTTTGATGTTGGTTATCTCTTTTGGATACTTTAGGGTAAGATGATGGCATGCAAACACTGCAGTGACATTTTCAGCAAGGAGGGTGCTTTGAAACTAGCAGCCACAAGCAGAGAGGACCAGGGAATTGAAACGGATGATGAGAAGGACTCACTTAAGAAGCAGCTGAGAGAAATGGAACTGGAACTGGCACAAACCAAACTGCAGTTGGTGGAGGCCAAGTGTAAAATTCAGGTTGGTGATTTGATAAAAGGACAAGAAGAAAGAATAAACAATTAATGGTCCAGGATACTCTGGTACTTCAGAATATACCTATCTAGGTCAGAATTGTATGATGAATACGTTTTCTATCTGCTAATGTGTCCCGCATAATCACATTTTATATCATGTATTCTTAACACTGATATAAACACATACATAATTTTAAATGAAATTTTAATAATTAAAAGTATATCTTAGGAGAACTTAATTAAGCATATGCTTTTTGTTTTTTTTACCCTGAGATTTTTTGCTTACATCCTTTCTCACAGAATGTGGTCACTTCAGTGGCTGATCCTGAAAATGAAAAACCAGAGCCCCTCTGCTGTGTCTGCCCTGAGAGCCACACACTGGCTGACACCGTTCTTTTCTTTGGAGCTGCTTTTTATCTTTAGCTCATTTTGTCAACCCCCTTTCCCCATTATCTTTCTCCATATTGGAGCATAATATAATTAGAAATAGTCCTGGCTTCTGATGGACTCTTCTTCATTTCATTTTCTCAGTGATCCCTACCAGCGCCATAGCTGCCATGTCGCCAGCCTGCACCACACCAGCCAGCTTCCACCATGTGTCTGCTCTGACCCTGGACATTCTTAGGGCAAAGCCTATTTCTTTGGAACTGGAATTCATTCATGCTTATACTACCAGTAAAAATTCATCCATATGTTTACATTTATTTGTGGTTTTTAAACCTGTTATCTTGGGTTGCAACCTAAACCTAAATTTGGACCTAACTTGCAGGGAAAAAAAGAATAAAATCAGGTTTTCTTTCACTGTTGACAGAAAGTACAGATTCCAGGTTTTTGATAAATCTTTTAGCTCTTAACTTTATCCTTGTAGTAACCAATTCAATCTCTCCTGGGTTTTGTGGGAGGAAAATTGGCAGCACATACCTTGAGACTCCAAAAAGCTGCACATTTTTAAAAATTAATTAATTAATGTATTTATTTATTGGCAAAAAGAAAACATTTATTTAACTCAGATTATTTTCTTGCTTTAATTAGGAACTTGAACATCAGAGAGGAGCCCTTATGAATGAAATCCAAGCTGCAAAAAACTCTTGGTTTAGCAAAACCCTGAACTCTATCAAAACGGCCACGGGCACCCAGCCATTGCAGCCAGCACCGGTCACCCAGCCACCCAAGGAGAGCACATAGTTCCAGCCTTACCCAAGCACAAGAGCACAATGTTCAAAGCAGTGGAAATCTGGGAGGATTCTTCCTGGTGTCCCTTTGAAGGAAAGTCAAGGAGGCCAGAAAACAAGCCAGAATCTTTCAGTAGCTCTCTTTCTTGTATGACACTTTTCAAAGGGATGTTATTTAAACTGACCTGTTCTATGTTGAATATCTATTTTCCAGCTTCTTCATGGAAGGCCATGTTCAGATCCATCATAGTATTAACACATTATTTTGTTTGCCTGATGTTTAGTTGGAAATAAGTAATTCAGAACTAAATGCTCTTTTATTTAGAACTAATTATTCATAATTATTTTTATCTTACGTAAAAATGGAGACATCTGTTATTCCAAGGTTGAAGTGAAGTGAAAGGAAGATCTTTGTCACAGGAAAAAAACCATTGAAACCTAAACCTCTTAGCTTTTCAGGATTTATTCAGATAAAGCACACTGTGGGGCCAGGCATGACCGCTCTCAGGTTTCCTCCTGAGCCTGATTCCCAGGGGAGTGATAATCCTGTCCAAAGGAAAGAACCAATCAGTGATCATTGGTTTACTTTCATTATCTGGAAAGGAAGTGCCAGGAATAGATGGGCTATTAAGATTATACATTAGGTAAAAGGAACTGAGATTTTAGTAAGTGTAGGTTAGGATCATTTGGGCTGTGGTATTCTAACAGATCCTTTTAAGAACTCCACATGGGACTTGTGAGTTCCTAAGTATGCCTAAGTATGGACGCAGATGTGACTTCTGGCACTTATAAAGTTAAAGGTGGATATTGCGCCTTACAGACTTAGGGGGCCTTTACCAGAGACGCCTAAAAAGTCCCAGGTTCAGCCATTGTGCTGAATAGAGTGGAATACAGAACCAGGGACAGAGTATTTCATTTAACGTTGATAGATACTTGCTAAGGAAACACTAACAATACTGTAACTTTGTTAAAGGACATAGTATTGAAATGGGGAATAGAGGTCAGGCTCACATCATCTTAGCTTAATGTTGAGCAACTTTTTCCAATTTTGGTAGTTCACTGAAAATGTGTCCTTCGTACCCATAAAGAGATACAAATGCATTTGTAACATTTTTGATTGAATATAAAACCTTTACAGAAATACGCGGTGGCTCAAGCCTGTAATCCCAGCACTTTGGGAGGCCGAGACGGGCGGATCACGAGGTCAGGAGATCGAGACCATCCTGGCTAACCCGGTGAAACCCCGTCTCTACTAAAAAATACAAAAATCTAGCCGGGCGAGGTGGCGGGCGCCTGTAGTCCCAGCTACTCGGGAGGCTGAGGCAGGATAATGGCGTGAACCCGGGAGGCGGAGCTTGCAGTGAGCTGAGATCCGGCCACTGCACTCCAGCCTGGGCGACAGAGCGAAACTCCGCCTCAAAAAAAAAAAAAAGAAATACTTATCTCATGGAAAGGTAAAGCTGTTGTTTAAAAATTAGTGGAAATATTTTTTCAATTATATTTAACATGCCTATAAAAATAGTCCTTGCAGGAAATTATTTGATAAGAGCAAAACTATTTTTATTTTATAAACTATTTTGGAGGCCTCTGTTCCTTTCACACCAACCAAACTACTATTAGATATGTACAATAACATTTGTTGATATACATCATTGGCCTCATTGTTGAACATATTATTTGCAAAGAATCTTAAACTCTGCAGTGCCAGAATGATTTTCATCTGTGCTATATGTTGCCATTAAAAGTAACACACCCTTAGAAAAATCAAGTAAGAGCCATCTCCACCCCAGGAGGATACAGCAAGTTGCTCACGGTGGATCTTTTCCTCTAAAATGATCTTTTATGTTCTAAAAAGTGAAATCCCCTTTTTCTGTGTTTATATTATCTACAGCCCATAAAACTGATGTGATTATTATGTTATACTCATCAGATAATACTTTTCTTACATAAATCTTTTGTTGTTCTGACATCTTTCATTACAAAATTTATTTTCTTACCAAAAAGGAACATAACCCAGCATTCCAGGTGTCTATATTGACTTTAATATTCTCTACATGGTGGTCTAGAGAAGCTAATTTTTTTTTTTTTTTTTTTTTTTTTGTAAAATATAGTAGCTAGAAAATGTTATCTTGGCACTTGTTTTTGTAAATCATTTAGTATAGGCTGTTAGCTTTACTGGTACTTTACGCTTTGATTCCAAGAAGCCCTGTGCAGTTGCCTTATCAAATGGCCAGCTAAATTAAAGATGCTCTTTTGTGTTGTGAATTTCGTAATTCTGTACAGAGCTTGTTTCAGCTTACAAAAATAAGTACATTCCACAGAATGCCTAAAGTGCATAATTTTCTTTAAATAATAGTAGGTGAGAGAGAAACATAATGGCTCTAGGTTAATCCCCTATCTGGAGACCTTGTTCAACTTCATAGTCCCTTTCCTTTTGAAGAGAAAAATCCTCCGCCAGCCAAGCATGGTGGCTCACGTCTGTAATCCCAGCACTTTGGGAGGCCAAGGTGAGTGGACCACCTAAGGTCAGGAGTTTGAGGCCAGCCTGGCCAACATGGTGAAACCCTGTCTCTATTAAAAATACAAAAATTAGCCAGGTGTGGTGGCAGGCGCCTGTAATCCCAGCCTATTCAGGAGGTGGAGGCAGGAGAATTGCTTGAATCCAGGAAGCAGAGGTTGTAGTGGGCCAAGATTATGCCATTGCACTCCAGGCTGGGTGACAAGAGCAAAATTCTGTCTCAAAAAAGAAAAATCACCAGGTACATACCTCTCAAGTTTGATAAGTCCATCTTTTGAGTTTTCTTTTAGCTCTTTCAAAAGATTGTAAGGGCAATACATAGTTTTTTTTTTTTTATTCTCCAGCCCCATATCATACTTGGATATGCCTGTTGGTACCATAAGCCTAAACTCTCCCTCACTGCAATGCCTTTGAGTCAGCAGCAATAGTAAAGACAAGAAACAAAGAAAATTCAGAATTTGGTATGTGGTATGATTGTTCATACAATATGTTATAATAGCAATATTCCAAACAATATGTCCTTCACTGTCTGTTGTTTGAAAACTCATGCATCCCAGCATGAAGTAACTACTAGTTTTAATTTCACTTATTTTGAGATATATTTGAGAACTGCATCTCTTCTATTGAATTTCATTTAGAAGAGATGAACCAGCCAAATATCCAGGAAAGTTTCAAAATATTCTAGTGTTTTTCATCCGTTCCTAGGATGTGCTCTGTATAAAACAGTCCTCTGAAAATCTAATATTTGTAATATCTAAGAATTGATCATTTCTATTTTCATTAAATTCTGTAGAAAAAAATGAATGAAATTCAACTTCATAATTCAGTTCATCAGCTTTTATATCTTGAGAATCTTAACACATTCTTTAAATCTGAAAGAAACCAAGCTGGATTTTGCAGTGCATATGTTTGCTAGCTTCCCACATCCTGAACCATGTCAAAATTTGGTTATATTTAGTTATATATAATTTAATGCAAAGAAATTCTCAGTTACTTAATGTTCTGTTTATTTATGAGTGCCTATCAGGAACACTAATAGGAATGCCATTCAACCGGTGTCTTCTCCTGCCCTTCTCCCAGCTGTTAAATTAGTACTTTCTTCTTCATTGGCTTTCTGAAATACCCTGAGTAAAGTAGAAAAGCGACCTTTGTATGGATGTGGGGATATTTAATACTATGTATCTTGTTTCATTTTTTTTCTAGGGTGTATTAATATTTATTTTTCTCCAACGCCTGCTCCATTTTCTTAAAATATTTTCCAGTTAATAGTTAGTTGCTTTATTTCCTAGCTGAAGTGAGAAAACCAAGAGAAAACAACACAGATTTGGGCAGAGGAGATACAGTTAGATCCTTAAAGGAGTCAGCCAGTCACCCAGAAGGAGAATCACATGTGTAATCAAATGATGTAGGGGTTTAAGCCTTCTTTTACTTTCGCTAAAATCAGTCTACTAACTCTTCCACCAACCTTTGCATCAAACACTTAGGTAGCTGCCTGATTAGGGGGCCCCTTGAAGGGGGAAAAAAACTTTTTAAAAATTAAATGCCTTGGTTTTATCTTCTGGGAAAGAACACTTTTACTTGATTAGCAAGATGATTATATTATATAACTTGCCCTTAAAAACACTCCAAAATACTGACTCCTTTGCTCCAATTACAAGTGAGAGAGTGAAGAAATTCTCTTGTATGATTTGAACACTATTAGGTTTGTATGTGTGTTAACTGGAAGAATTTTATATAGAGTATCTCTGCTGCTTTTGTTTCCCTGGGTACCACACAACCAAATACACATTGAGATTTCAAGAAATAATGATGAAAGCCAGAAGGCCAGACCACAGCTCTGCAACCTGTTTCCTACTATCAGATATGAAACTCTTTCTCATTACCATGCTGATAGTCACACTGAACTAGAACTGTCCCAACACATACTTCCTCTCTCATAGTGGCTTCCATTTAACACAGGCAAAGCCCTTTACCTTAGCAAATTCTTTATCTTTCAAAAGTGACCAAAATGAGGACTTCAACCTTGGTTGCTCCTCAATAGAGATGCTGATCTTGAGTTGTAATGAGAAAAGTGGACATATAGATTTTAGTGACTGCAGTCAGCTCTCTGGCATTCCTTTCTCAGTTTGCATCTAAAAGACTACAATATGTCAAGCATATCTCCACCTGAATTTGCTGCCTGCTATAAAAACATTTCATTAATATATCTCATTCTTCCTACCTCCATCTCTGGTTTGTCATTAGTGGTATTCTGAAAAGCTTAAGAAAAAAGAATCATTGAGTAGAAAGTGAACATTTTAAGTTATTTTCCTTTTTCACTGACAATTAGTTAACATGTAAAATCTTTTCTATTAAACTGTATAACTTTTAATAACTATATATTATATATGGGATAAAATATATGGACTGAATTGTGAGAATATAAATGCATCGAGAGACTCTGGTGTCATGAAAGCACAAGAATAAGGCTGGAGATGGTCCCAGATCCAAGATGTCCCAAAAGCCTTTTGTATCAGTTTCTCTATTTTTGGTATTTTGCATAATGCATGGATCCTTAGTTCAAATGAGGGACACAGTTTCTCAGCCCCACTTCTTTCTTTCCAACTCCTACCTTTCCCTTGCAGAGGAGGTAGTAGAGATTCTGAATTATCTATTATGAATTCTATTATTTTGTCCATGGCATCTCTAATGAAAACAGGTTCTAGAATAAAGGAGTTGATTAGTCTGAACAGTACTAATTAACTACAAAAAAGTTAGTGATCAGCCTCTTCCTCTATAAACGATGACCAATTCGATGTTTCTATAATTCCATGTATTATGTATAGTACACTCTATAAATGTAAATGTAATGCTTGTCTAAAAAGTGCAATTTATTGTACATTGTCCCAACAAATGTTTACTTTTATAATTGTTATGAACTTGAATTGGATTAGTATTTTGTTTTTATGTGTGAATGAAGCCTTGTGAAATAAACAAATGCAACTGAGAAGGTAACAAGGTGACTGTTTTTGTGAGCCAGTGATGTTTTCAATGCTTTGTGTTGCCCCTTTGGCCCCATTAAGCAGTAATAAACATTTGTTCTGAAGTCCATGTATGTCTTTTTTATTTTTTTTAGTTGACTTTATTCTGACTCATTTGAACCCAATGTTTACGTAACACTTCTTACACCTGACACTAGACTCCAGTCAACTTAGAAAACAGTATATATCCTGCAAAAATGATATCCTGTGCAGCACCACCACAAAGTGCCTTATTTTCCTCTCTACTGAGGTTCCTTGATTCCAAGTAACAGAAACCTTTGCAAGCTAGCTTAATAATAGTAATTTTAAGAGGCAATTAACCAAAAGGAAATAGGATATCTGTATCATAGGTCCCAAAGGCCAAACACTTGGGCCTGAACTGGCACTAGGACAAGGGGCTGGAATGCTATCAGGACCCTGAAAGCAATTGTTCCCATAGTTGTGCTTCTGCTTGTCCTTTCAGATGACACTTACCTGCTTCATTCTTCTCTCTGAAAACAGGCTTTCTCTGCTTCTAAGTACACAGCTACCAAGTTTACATATCCTCTCTTCAAACTACCAGCAGAAGACTACCATCTCAATTGTTCCAATCACAAGTTCTGGAAAAAAAATATGATTGGCTAATCCTGGGTCAGGTAGCTGCTGTTAGTCCTTTAAGGTACAGCAAGGTAGGAGATATATAATTCAAACTAAACTTCAGAGGCACTTATGAAAGTGGAAATCGTGTGCAGAGAATCCCAATCATATCTCATTTGCATTTGCATTTTGTTCTGGGAATCCACGGAACCCAAGTGAAATACCAAGAGATTGGTCAGCTCCTCTTGGAATTCGGCATGTATTAAAAAATAATAAAAGACTGTAAGATTACAGATTTTGTTCCAAATTCAGACCACAGACATCTTTCGTTTGGCCATGTGGTGGTTTGTTTGTTTTCTGAGACGGTCTTGCTCTGTCACCCAGGCTGGAATGCAGTGGCGTGATCTCAGCTCACTGCAATCTCCACCTCCCAGGCTCAAGTGCCTCCCACTTCAGCCTCCCAAGTAGCTGGGACTACAGGCAAGCACCACCACGCCTGGCTAATATTTCTATTTTTTACAGAGACAAGGTTTTGCCATGTGGCCAGGCTGGTCTCAAACTCCTGAGCTCAAGCAATCCACTTGCCTCAGCCTCCCAAAGTGCTGGGATTACAGGCATCAGCCACCATGTCTGGCCCCCTCTGGTATTTTAAACAATGTGAAATTTTACATAAAAAGTAAAACAAAATTACTCAGAAGTGCTCACTTCAACAGCATATACACTAAAACTGTAATCTACAGAGAAGATTGCCATGTCCCCTGCACAAGAATGACACACAAGTTAATTAAGCATTCCATATTTTGCACAGTCCCCAGAAGGTCATTTCTTTATCTGCTGACAAGCCCCAAGAGAACAGTATGAGTCATAGCAAAAAAAATTAAAAATTCAAAATATCCATTGAATTTGGCAGTTAGGAAATCATGAGTAAGCTTGACAGGTACAATAACTGGGGGAAGCAGAAAGGCTGCCTGCAATAGGACAACTGAATGAGAAATAATTTCATTTTGAAAAGAAAATTATTCCAAACTTTGGAAACAAGGCAAAAAGGTGAGTGGCATGTCCTTTCAGTATCAAACCAAGGACTAGGGGATTGCACTTTGTTCATTTCATCGTTTACTATTGATTTAAAAGTCCTATACTGAATCTATACAGTAACTTCTAGATTTTTGTCCAATAAGAATGCAAATCCCTACTTCCTTTCCAGTGAAACAGATAACACCAAAAGTTAGAGTTTATTACCCTGTGACACATTAACAGGTTTGTATCTAACCTTCCCACCTTATACTACCATTACATTGTTAAATTGCCTATAAATACCTGGCTACTCAAATACACTCTCATTAACCAATGAGTTGAATTAAGTATTTGTCACATGTCCATTTATATTTGCATAATATTGTCTGGAAAAGCCTCCCTTAGTGTTACTTCTGAAAGACCTAAACAGAGTGAAGAAATGATCTGTGTGATGAACTGGAGGAAGAGGATTACAAGTGGAGAGAAAGCTGGGTACATACAGACTTGGAGGCAAGAGCAAACCCAGTGGGTTCAATGAATAAGAAAAATGCCAGACTGTTTAAATCAGGGAGTGGGGAAGGAAGAGTGGTGAGAGATGGGTTCTGATGTGAAGCTCATAAAGGTGAGATAAGATACGTAAAACACTCAAGTTCACAGTAAGGAGTTTGTACTTTATTCTAAGCCTAATAGGAAGCTGTTAGAGGTTTTTAAGCAAAGGGATATAATGATCTGAAAAGATATCGCAGGCTGCTCTGTGGAAAACTAACCCTAAAGGCACAATGGGGAAGCAGAGAAACCAGTTAGGAAGCTAAAATTTCAGACAAAATAATGATGGCTTGGACCTGTGTGTGTAGGGTAAGAAGTATCTTTTCCTTCTACTCATTTTAGGCTCATTGGCTTGGGATGCTGTAACAAAAGACAAATTAACAAGAGAAAAGCATAAATATTGTTAGTTTTACATAACATGGAAACTTCATAAAGAAATAAAGACCCAAATAAATAGTTAACCTTAGTGTTCTTTAGAGTAGGTTTGAAGAAGAATGAAGAATTGTGGGAAAATGTGATGGGGCTAAAAGCCTGTGATCTAAGGGTAATAAACTGGGGGAAACTTAGCAAGGCCTGATGTTCATATTCATCTCTACGTTCCTGTGTTTTCAGAAATAAAGATGTTACTTTTATTTCACGTATAGACAGGGCAACTCTCACATGAGGGTATTACGTCCTGCTTCAGGACAGAAAGGTGCAAGAAAGTTAGAGACATTCCTGCATATGTTCTTTCTCAAATTCCTTCAGTTTAAAGTATTCAATATGTCTAGGTGCCATATTCTTGGGTAGCATGCCCCAAACCCCGTCAGGTGGTAGAAGCAGAGGTTGTGAGAAATCGTTTAATTCGCTACGTATTTTGAGATTAAGCCAGTAAGGCTTGCTATATGATAAGATGTAAGGCCTGAGATAGAAGACTCACCTGTGACTCCTTAGCCTGAGCAATTAAGAGAATGAGGTGACTGTTCACTGCATTAGGTCAAGCTTTCACTCTGTGCAGTGCGGTATTTGTTTTTATTTATTTATGTACTTAACAATTCCAGGCTATTGGTTGGCCACTTAAAAAAAATACGATAAAATACACAGCTCTTAGGAGTTCATCCCATGAACTTTGACAATTGTATGTATGGGTGTAGTATTTCTATTACCTTGGCAAATTCCCCCCCACCCCCGCCGGGCCTTAAATATAATCTATAGAAGAAACTACGTACATAAAAATACGTTTACAACTTAATTTCTAAAGTGAACCCACCTATCTATAAATCAGTGTCTAAATCAAGTAACATTACTGGAACCTCAAAAGCCCCCTGGTGGCTCTTCCACGTCATTGTCGTTCCCACTACGCTCATTAACACCATGGGCTAGTTTTTAGACTTCATTTAAATTGAACCACACAATATGAACTCTTCTGTGTCTGGCTTCTTTCCCTTAATGTCATTTTTTGTGCGAAATTCACGCATGTTGCGCTTCGGTAATTTATTTTTGTACTGTACTTCCGATTCTTTATTACAGATAATGGTCAGTCTCCATTTCGCTAAGAGCTTTTTTTCCTCTCCGAGTTGCTGATTCTAATCGCTGCCTTGGGCGATCTATAAAGCTGAGTGCTCGCTATGTGACCTCTCAGGGGTCGCCGCCTTGGACGATCAATAAAGCTGAGCGCGGGCTATGTGATCTCTGAGGGGTTCTTTCCAACCGTGTTGTTGACATCTTGAGCCTGCCAAAGACTAGAATAACCTGAAAACTAGGCTTCTCTGGGGTCTCGCTGAGAGGCAGCGTTAGAACCAGAAGAGAACATCGTCTCCAGAAGACATTTCACCATTTTCTTTGATGGTAAACAGGCTCACTTATACCGAATCCAAACCCAGGCGAGAAATATGGACTCTTGAAATGGTCGGTGAAAGGGGCGAAAGCACCAGGAAATTATGCTTCAACAGTTCACGACAAAAGGATGGTCTGAAACTGTGGCCAAACGCCGGCCCTTTCGTTAGGGCCTTGACCTGGGCTTCCGCCACGGGGCCGGGTCATGTGGCCAACGCAGCTCCACCTCCTACCGCGGCCAATGATGACGCCACCAGGTCGGAGCGGACAGACCGCGGTGACGTCCCCACTGCGGCAAACTCACTGAAAATCAAACCGCTACCATTAGGAGTCCTCCACGCTTAACATATCCATTCTTTCTCGTTTGAACATAACCAGGCTGCTCCTTCTCCCCATTTTTTGCCTTCTCGCGGAGGCTGAGAGACTAGCCTTACACAACATGGCTGCCTAGTGTGTCTGGTGTCCTAGAACGGACGGAAGCAGGTGACTCTACTCAACTTCCGACTTGGACTCCGAAAATCGGTACGTTATTTCCGGGGCTGGGTTAAGGCAGCGGTTCCGAGCTGCGACTGCGCAGCCTGGCCTAGCGCGGTCAAATTACAATACATAAAGTTGTCGGGGCGGAGAGGAAGGCATTACTCTTCTCGGACTGCCGGTTCGCTCGCGAGACTTGAGCGTTGCTAGGAGATTCGGCAGGCGGGCGGAGCCAGACTCGGCGGGGCGGGGAGGGGCGGGGAGGGGCGGGGCCACACTCGGCGAGGCGGGGTGGGGTGGGGCCAGGCTTGGCGGGTGGAGCGTGCTCGCGGTGGGCGGTGGCGGCGGCGGCCTCGCGAAGGTTCCAGATCCGTCGCGTGCAGGAGGCGGGCCGCGATCTCGCGCAGGGTCGGTGTGCGCGCGGGCTGCGGCGCCGCGACTCGTGCGAGTGGGCGTCTGCGCTCGGTTTGAGGGCTCCGCGCGGCGTTTCCTGTTCTCTCCTCTGCGCGGCTGCAGCTCGGGCCTTCGGCCTGATCCAGCCCCCATGGCTTCAGAAGAGGTAAGTGGTTCGGCCCCATCTTCTTCATGCTCCCCGGCTGGAGCTGCAGCGCCAGCCTCCCGCCCCACCGCCGTTTCCGTGGGTTGAGCCGCCCTGCGGCGACCCGGTGCCGCGGCAGTCGGCGCGCCGCCTTCCCTGGGGGACGCCTCATTCGCCCTTTCCTGCGCCGTCGGCTCCCCGCGCTTCCCCTCGGCCTCGCACCCCACCCGCCTGCCGGGCCGGAGCAGGGGTGTGCGGCGATTCTCCGTGCAGGCGATGCGGGGAGTGGGTCTGAGAGAGCTGCCCCCTGCGCGTGTTCCTCAGGCCCTCTCTGGGCTGGTTTCCCAGCCAGAGGACAGGAAGCTTCATTCAAGCAAAGCTGGGTGCAAACATGAGTGTCGTTTATGGTAGAGGGCGGTTGGAGGGTGAGAAGTTTTCGGTGCTAGCACTTGAATTCTCTTAGTCATGTTTTCTCTACACACGAGGAGCTGTGTTACTCTGGGCAAGTTGTTTAGCTTTTCAGTGTCGCAGTAGCATCCATTTCATAGAGTTGTTAAAAAGTATGATTTCTAGGTGTTTAAACCAGTGATTGGCAAACAGCAATCTGCTGTATGTGATTTTTAAAATAAATAACTTGGAAAATTAGTTGTAATTAATAGTAAGAAACCCAATGGCCTGTGTTAAAGCTCGGTAAACTCTGAACGTTGGAGAATTAAATTTTATGGAGACTTAGTTTGCTCAGTTAGAAAATGGGAATGATAGTACTTGTATTGCTCATTTCCTGGCCTAAGGGGGAGGTGAAGACGGAACAGTTATTCACAGTTAAGTGTTGTGTGTGTAGTAACTAGATTTGCTTTATGAAAACAAGTACTGGGAAATCCCAAGCCTTTTTTTTTTTTTTTTTTAAACTCAAAATCTTTTCTTTACATGAAGAAAAACTATGAGATTTGTGTGTTCTAGTATTAATCTAGGTATCTTGTGACAAGTCTTTTAAGGTAGGTCTTGGGTACTATGTGCCCCTAGGAGAGAACTTCACAGTCATGCAGGTGGATAGCTCAGTTATTAGTCCTCTTGAGAGTAGAGAACGTTCTCAGTTTAGGTACTTAGAAGTAGACATTTAAGGGCACTTCATTTTTGTTTTGTTTGAGGTAAAATTCAAGTTTTTAACCATTTTAAAGTGTATAATTCAGGTATTTTGTTTTTTTTTTAAGTATATTCAGTGTAGTGCAGCCATCACCACTGTCTAGTTTCAGAACATTTTCATCACTCCAAAAAGAAACCATTTAGTGTCTTTTAAACAATTGCTTCCCATTCCCCCCTCAGCCCCTGACAACTACTCATCTTATACTTTCTGTGAATTTGCGGATTCTAGGCATTTCATATAAATGGAGTCACGCTGTATGTGACCTTTTGTTTTTTGGCTCCTTCAACTTAGCACTAACATTTTCAGGTTCATCCATGGTGTAGAGTGTATTAATACACATGCTCTTTATGGCTAAAGAATCTATTATATGCGTATGGCACATTGTGTTTATCCTTTCATCCGTTTATGGACATTTATTTCCACTTCTTTTTTTGAGATGGAGTCTCGCTCTGTCGCCCAGGCTGAAGTGCAGTGGCACAGTCTCGGCTCACTGCAATCTTCGTCTCTCGGGTTCAAAGGATTCTCCTGCCTCAGCCTCCTGAGTAGCTGGGATTACAGGCGCGCGCCACCATGCCCTGCTAATTTTTGTATTTTTAGTAGCGACCGGGTTTCACCACGTTGGCCAGGCTCATCTCGAACTCCTGATCTCAAGTGATCTGCCCGCCCACCTCGGCCTCTGAAAGTGCTGGAATTACAGGTGTGAGCCATGGCGTCCTGGCTTATTTCCACTTCCTGACTAGCATAAAAATAATGCTGCTGCGAGTGCTGTGTACAAGTTTTTTGTGTGGATGTGTTTTCAGTTCTCTGGGGTATATACCTAAGAGTGGAATTACTGGTTCAAATGCTAACTTTTTGAGAAACTGTTAGACTATTTCCAGAGTGGTTGCATCATATTCCCACAAGAAGTGTTTGAAGCTTCTAGTTTCTCCACATCCTTATCAACATTTGTTATTTTCTGGGGTGTCCTATTTTTGTTTTTTGGTTTATAACACCATCCTGCTGGGTGTGAAGTGGTATCTTGGGAATTTGATATGCGTTTACCCAATGATGAAGATGTTGAGCATCTTTAATGTTCTTGGTGTCCATTTCTGTATCTTTGGAGAAATGTGTGTTGAATTCCTTTGCCCATTTTTGAGGCACATTGGTGTTAATGCCTCCTAGTGAAAAATTAGGAAATAGGAAGATAGAGCTTGAATGCGTTATGGGTAGGGATAAAAGGGAAATAAAATTTTTATATACGTAAAACAAATACATGCCAAGAAGGCAAGGAAAATTACATGATAAATTAGATAAGAAACTATCTAGGATATCTTAAAGTATTTGTGCAGAAAAAGCAGATTTTTGGTTTCAAGTCTGCCAACAACAGAACTGAGGAACTGTCTCAGTTTTAAGTTTTTTCAGTGGATACTTTATAATAAAAAGTAATTTAGAGCCAAAACTGGCAATAAAGAGGGCTTGGGAATTCAGCCATTGGGGGAATCCCTTGCCTAATTTGAATTACTTTTCTGATTCTGCTAAAGCATTCCTATTTCAGTCAAAAAGCAAAACCTCGTACTTAGACTTATTATATTTCATTTTACATTTCAATATTTTATGAATTAGGAATTGTAGAATCAGCGTTTTTTTTGAAACCATTAAAATGTATTATTTTGAACTGAAACATCTTGGTTCTATGCTCAAAAGACGAGTTTGCAAGAGTTTTTGTCATAGTAATATGAGCTGTTCTTGGAAGGGGAGAGTGTGGACAAGAGGGTTGGGCAGAGTTGAACTTTTTTTTTTTTGATACTGAGTTTTGCTCTTGTTGCCCAGGCTGGAGTGCAATGGCGCAAACTCGGGTCACCACAACCTCTGCCTCCCGGGTTCAAGCAATTCTCCTGCCTCAGCTTCCTGAGTAGCTGGGATTACAGGCACATGCCACCATGGCCGCCTAATTTTTGAATTTTAAGTAGAGACGGGCTTTCGCCATGTTGGTCAGGTTGGTCTCGAACCCCTAACTTCAAGTGATCCACCCGTTTGGCCCCCCAAAGTGCCGGGACTACAGGTGTGAGCCACTGCACCCGGCCAGAGTTGAACTTTTTATACCATGTCATCTGTTGTAGATAGGCAAAACTGGGGCATCTGAGTTAAATGAGATAATAAAAGACTAGTAGTAAAAGAAAAAAATTAGTTCTGTTATTGCATTTTATAAGACTACTAAGAAACAAAGGCTTTCTTTTTTTTTTTTTTTTTTTTTTTTTTTGAGACGGAGTCTCGCTCTTGCCCAGGCTGGAGTGCAAGTGGCGCGATCTCCTCCGCTCACTGCAAGCTCCGCCTCCCGGGTTCCCGCCATTCTCCTGCCTCAGCCTCCCGAGTAGCTGGGACTACAGGCGCCAGCCACCACGCTCGGCTAGTTTTTTGTATTTTTAGTAGAGACGGGGTTTCACCGAATTAGCCAGGATGGTCTCGATCTCCTGACCTCGTGATCCGCCCGTCTCAGCCTCCCAAAGTGCTGGGATTACAGGCGTGAGCCACCGCGCCCGGCCGAAACAAAGGCTTTCAAACGCTGTTGTGGGTCTGATATTCTGAGTTATAAAGCACTAAAAGACTTTTAAATTGAGCTTTTGATATAATCAAGCTGTGACACAAGATTTTTTTGGTCAAGTTGCTAGTATCAAGCTAGAGTGTAAAGTTACTGTAAGAAGTGAAACAGCTGTTTGGAAAGATCTTGTGTATTTGCAGTATGTCAGAAGGTAATTGGGGGAAAAAGACTTAGGCTCAATAATTTTCTAACATTGTCTTTAACTCTTGAATTTCATAAAATGTTGCCTCTCTCGAAAGTAAAAAGAAGTAGACTTTAATAGATGATGGATTGGCATGAGAAGAAAATGAGAACGTGGTGGCTTTTTCAAAAGATAATTTCCAAGAGTATGTTGCATTTTGGGTCTTTTGTCACCTTCTATGCAACCAACTCCTACACTTCTAACTGTAAGACTGACCCAGCTTCAGAGCAAGACCTTTTCTCAAAAGCAGAAATTTTTTTTTTTTTTTTTTTAAATATTTTGTCTTAAAAATTCGGACTCTCTTTATTTGAGGTATTTGAGGTGGGAAGATCAATGAAGACCAATCAGTGACAGAAAATGGAGCATTCATTACCTCAGTAAAGTTTGCTATGTAGCATTTTACCATGGTCACTGTGTGTTCTCTCATCTCTTAAATATTTTAAAAGTGTCTAACATCTAATGACACTCGGATTAGATGTTAAAGGAAATCTATGAATCCCTTGTCAAAAAAAATCTTTGTTTTACTGTTTAAATCGCAGATGTTTCTTGTAAATATTTTAAAGCAAATATAAACTGGAAAATTTGGGTGTGATTACCTATTTATTGTTTGTTCAAGATTGTTCAAAGTTTTCCTTTTGGGAAAAAAAGGAAGCTTGAGTTAATTACAGTTAATAAGCCGGAGGGAAGAACTGAAGTTGCAACTCAATCCTACAAAATTTAGATGAACCTCTTAATTTTTAGTGCTTATTTCAGTAAGTTGAAATGAGTGATAAGCACAATATCAAGCCATTTCCTTATTGATCATAGCTAACTTATTTTTTGTCTTAACACAGCTACAGAAAGATCTAGAAGAGGTAAAGGTGTTGCTGGAAAAGGCTACTAGGAAAAGAGTACGTGATGCCCTTACAGCTGAAAAGTCCAAGATTGAGACAGAAATCAAGAACAAGATGCAACAGAAATCACAGAAGAAAGCAGAACTTCTTGATAATGAAAAACCAGCTGCTGTGGTTGCTCCCATTACAACGGGCTATACAGTGAAAATCAGTAATTATGGTATGACTTGCTTCCCTATGGCCAGTTTTGCCTCCGAGCAACCTATTCCTCATAGTGATCTAACAAATTCATCTTTAAATGAGTTTTGAGTCTGTGTTTTCGGTGGCTTGGAGGAAGACCCATCAGTTTTTATTTAATAAAACTTTCTTTAGATAGAAATAGGAAAGGATACATTCTAGAAGCTGTTAACAAGAATAAAGTGATTTATTACAAAGATGAGGAGTAGCAACAAGGAAGGAACTTATTCTGAAATTATTCAGTATATATGAGGCACTGCTTTGGTGGTGGTGGTGGTTTTTAATCGTTTTATGTTTCACTCTGCCAACCACTACAATTAACTGAGGAGAGGAATCCAGTTAAATTCAGGAAATATTTTTGAGCACCTAATGTATATCACTATTGTGCTTGGACTTATGGATACACAACAGTGACTAAGACCCAATCCTTTCTCATGGTGTGGTTGGGACATAGACGTATAACTCATAGCATAACAATGTATTAGCAAAACAGTATTAGCAAAAACTAATACTGTTTTCCTTCAGTGGTGTATATAGTGTTTTTGTTTTGGCGGCAGTGCAACTTGAATGAGAGTGATGAGCTCTCATTGGAGCAAGGACAGTCTGGTTTTTCTTTGTGCTAATAATGTCTAGCACATAATAGGTAACATAGCTGAGGAAATAATTCTGGAGGTGAGGAACAGGGAGAATTAGAGAGATGAGTGTGAAGGGTGAGTTGTATGTTCAGCAAGTCAAAAAGGAAGGGAACGGCATGAGCAGAGGACACGAATAGACTTGGAAGGCATGATCTATTTTGAGTATTGTTATAGTGAAAAGCATGTGTATGTCGTGCTTAAGTGATACACTATATAGTACTATATGAAATTGTACCGTGTACTCAGTTGAGTATGGGAAACTGGTCTGAAGGTGTTTAGGATTATGGCATTTTAACCAGGAACATAGATTTGTGTTGAGGGAGAAACTTGTCAAACCGGAGGATGGACTGACTGGGAAGAAACCATTAATAAATGAAGTTCTCTGGAACCCTCTAGGGCATTTTTTTGATCAACACTATGTTTCTTTTTAATTTTCGTGGGTACATAGTAGGTGTATGTATTTATGGGGTACATGAGATGTTTTGATACAGGCATGCAGTGTGAAAACACACCATGGAGGATGGGGCATGTTTCTATTCCGTAGGACTAAGTGAGGACTAAGGAAGAGTCAGGGATATGTATGTATATATTCTTGATAAACAGAAGATGCTTTTTGTGAAGTTTTTTATTTTCTACAAATACGATGGTATTTTGTGAAGCGTATATATGTCTTGTATGTTGACAGAGTTCTTCTAGGTTAGAGACTTGCTAGTAAGTTGATAATACATACTGAAATGGCATTTAATAGATGCCAGTAGGTTTGTCAGATTTGGATGAAGAATTGGAGTCGTTTACATTCTGCTTTGCCCTGGAAAGGAATTAAGAGCGCTAGGATTCCATTTGTTATACTACTTAGAGAAGTAGAAATGGTTATGGAATTAGACAGTATTGATACTTAGCCATCCAGCTTAGTGGAGAACTACCGATATTTAGATGTAGGACAAAATTGTTTCCATAAAAGCAGTAAATGAACTAATCTTAAAGAATGTATTTAGTGATCGTATTTTTATTCTGAAGGATTAAAAAGAGCATAGGCTTTGTATTCAGAAACTTGGATTTGAATCTGAATTCTATCACTTGTTAGATGCCTAACTTTGGGTAGAGTACTTAACTGCTTTGAGGCTCCATTTCTCAACCTAGAAAATTTCTTGGGTTTCAAATTTTTTATGACTGAATTTTCATAATTTTACTTTCCTGAGTTATGAGCCATGTGCATTTGCTGTTCTAGAGATAGTTTCAGAGACTTACTTATGTCCCATCTTTTGTTGTCGTTGCCAGGATGGGATCAGTCAGATAAGTTTGTGAAAATCTACATTACCTTAAGTGGAGTGCATCAAGTTCCCACTGAGAATGTGCAGGTGCATTTCACAGAGAGGTGAGTTCTCATTATATTGGGAAAGACGGTGATCATTAACAGTCAACATTGCCTTATCTTGAGACTCTTTTCTTTGCAGTTTTAAAAATTCTTCTTAAATTTAGAATTAATTATCTTTTACAACTACTTTCAAGAGGTGAGCATTAACTGGCCAAATGCACACCCTGAAATAAAGCCAGCAGCTTTTTTCCCACTCTTACGGAGTAAGAGTACCTTTTCTTAGAACTAGAAAGATGATGTATTCACCATTGTGTTGCAGGTCATTCGATCTTTTGGTAAAGAATCTAAATGGGAAGAGTTACTCCATGATTGTGAACAATCTCTTGAAACCCATCTCTGTGGAAGGCAGTTCAAAAAAAGTGAGTGTGCTTTTTTTGGTCGTAATATTCTGAAACCTTACCAGATTGAACCTAGCTGATTTAGAATTGAGATGAACTGGAATGAATTTGTCCTGTAACAGGGACCACTGCCTGTTTTGTGAATGTTTTATTGGGACATAGCCAGGCTTATTTGTTTGTGTGTTGTTTGTGGCTGCTTTTGTGCTACAATGGCAAAGTTAAGTGGCTGCAGCAGACCACATGGCCCTAAATGAAACCTAAATATTTACTGTGTGGTCCTTGACAGAGAACATTTGCCAACTCCTTTTGTAGAAGAATAGGCTGTTGTAAGAATATTCCGTTAAAATCAGGAAGGAAGTAAATGTTTGAAGGTAGTTAAGAGTGAGACTTGAGTTTTATGCCAGGTTTACTGCTTATTGTTTGTGACCTTTGGCAGCTTAATCACTCTGTGCCTCAGTTTCTGCATTTATGCAATAGTAGTAATTTATTTCACAAAGTTGAAATGATACACTGAAGTGCAATACCATATGTAAAGTGCTTAAATTAATGGTAGTGTTGGCATTGTGCATAATACTCGTATACATAAAAGGAGGTCTTAAGTACTTAGCCTCCTTGGAGTTAGAAGCAGCTATAAAAATAAGGAAACTGTCTTTTAAAAACTACTCTATAATTTTTACTAAATCAGATAGTCCCTCTTTTCTGCCTAATTTGAATAAATGAAGTTTAATGCATTAGGTATATAGATATGCCATTCTGCCATCTGTTTTTATAATACATAATTACTTAACAGCTTACAGGTGATACTCAAATATAGTTAGATTCGCTGTCTTCCTGCACCCTTCTGCATCCACTAGTCCCGTACGTAGAGTACCAAAAGATCCCTAGAAGTCATATTGATCATTGTTTAAAGACCTGTACATTCATTGCCCTTCTTTCACACTTTCCAAATGCCTCACCTTACTCCATACTGCCTTATGTGACTTGGTTTCTTGCCTATCCTCGACCCCTCTTATTATATTACTATCTCTCTCAGTCATCAAAATCCAGCCACTCCTCCTGCTCCTCAAACACACCAAGATCATCCCATCTTGGAGCCATTCTACATGGCTCTGCCAGCTCCCTTCTCCTGACCTTAAGCTTCAGCTCAGATTTTGCCTCAGGGAGGCCTTTCTAATGAAGTTCCTGCTCCCACCCCCATTAATACCTGCTTTGTCTTGCCAGCACTTTCTAGGATATGACGGTATTCAAGTTTTACTTATTTACGGTCTTTTCACGCCATGAATGTTCAGATTTTGGCCTATTCATACAAGTATTACTAGCACCCCAAATAAGTCTATACATACTAGGGACTTGATTAATTAAATAATTGTTTTGTCTTCTAAGCTGTATTTGTTTTCCCACTTTTCTTCCAGGTCAAGACTGATACAGTTCTTATATTGTGTAGAAAGAAAGTGGAAAACACAAGGTGGGATTACCTGACCCAGGTTGAAAAAGAGTGCAAAGAAAAAGAGTGAGTCTACTTTCATTTTTTAAAGAATTTTAGTGTATTGTTTCAGATCATAGATTTTTAAGTTTGTCTTTATGGATAATATATTTCTGCTTTCAACTGTCAGAAACTACCTGAAGAGGGCGCGTCCAGCAAGTTGCTTTTTAAGGTCTTTGTAGTTAACAGTTGGCTCTTTAGTGTGGTTCTTAACCCTAGGCACTTCTATACAAATACTGTGCCCATTCCCAGATACTCTGTTTCAGTAGTTCGAGAGAGGCTCGGATACCCCTGTATGTTTTAAATTTCTCAGATGTTTGTGATACATAGTTGTTTTCATTGTCACTGGTTTAGAGTGAAAAAGATAAAATATTTTTATCCTTCTTAATAATGACCTTTTAAAAATGTTTATTCAATGATACTTGCATTCTAGGTCAGTTCATCTTCTAGAGGTACTGACTAATTCAAGACTCAGGTCCAGATCTGTGTATCTCAGGCTTAAGAGGAGAGCTTTTCTAATTATAAAATACATGAGCTTCAGGGTACATCCATGTGTAATGTTTGTGATTTTCCCTCAATTTTTTTTTCCAAATTATGAGGAAACATGCTGTTAAAAAATGAAAACAAGTTAGAAAATCAAATCTTTACTTTTTTTTTTTTTTTTTTTTTTTTTTTTGAGACGGAGTGTGGCTCTGTCGCCCAGGCTGGAGTGCAGTGGCTGGATCTCAGCTCACTGCAAGCTCTGCCTCCTGGGTTCATGCCATTCTCCTGCCTCAGCCTCCCGAGTAGCTGGGACTACAGGTGCCCACCACCTCGCCCGGCTAGTTTTTTGTATTTTTTAGTAGAGACGGGGTTTCACCGTGTTAGCCAGGATGGTCTCGATCTGAGCTAGTGATCCGCCCGTCTTGGCCTCCCAAATCCTTACTTATTTTACCTGTTAAAAATGAGGCCAGGCCGGGTGGCTTATGCCTGTAATCCTAGCATTTTGGGAGGCCGAGGCGGCGGATCACCTGAGGTCAGGAGTTTGAGACCACCCTGGCTGACATGGTGAAACTCCGTCTCTACTAAAAATACAAAAATTAGCCGGACATGGTGGCACGTGCCTGTAATCCCAGCTACTTGGGATGCTGAGGCAGACAGAATTGCTTGAACCTGGGAGGCAGAGGTTGCAGTGAGCCAAGATCGCACCACTGCACTCCAGCCTGGGCGACAGAGCAAAACTATCTCAAAAAAAAAAAAAAAAAAAAAAAATCATGGGAAATCCCTGTGCCTAAAAATAGCCCCTTACTATTTTGATGACCTCTTTCATGCACCAAGTGTGTGCATGCTTGGTAGGTGTGTGTGGTTTTCATTAAGATGAACAGGCGTGCCATTTTGATTGTGAATATCTTTGGATACACTGTCTTCCCTCTTATCCCTCTACTTCCTGCCAATGTTAACAACCTGAATTATAGTATCTTCCCCCGTGCCTTCATTTCTCCATTGTTGTATATGTTTTCTTTTTAAAGGAAGCCCTCCTATGACACTGAAACAGATCCTAGTGAGGGGCTGATGAATGTTCTAAAGAAAATTTATGAAGATGGAGATGATGATATGAAGAGAACCATTAATAAAGCCTGGGTGGAATCAAGAGAGAAGCAAGCCAAAGGAGACACGGAATTTTGAGACTTTAAGGTCCTTTTGGGAACTGTGATGTGATGTGGAAATACTGATGTTTCCAGTAAGGGAATATTGGTGAGCTGCATATATAAATTTGACAGATAGCTATTTACATAGCCTTCTAAGTAAAGGCAGTGAATTCTCCATTTCCTACTGGAGGATTTATTTAAATAAAATATGCTTATTAAACACTCCTGCAAAGATGGTTTTATTAGTACCCTGGTCATTTTGTTCAAGGAAGGGTTATAATTGCATTCTCATGTGAAATATAAAAAGCAAGTCTTGCCCAATAAAAACGCTACATTGTGTGTATTTTTTGTTCAGCTAAGAATTGGAAAAGTATTTGCTTGCCTTTAAGTTACTGACATCAGCTTCCACCAGTGTAAAAATTGAGTAAAACCTGAAGTTTTGCATAAAATGCAGATCGGTAGCTGTGCTTGAAGGTTGCTGTAGAGCATCTGACCCCTTATTACCACCTTAAGCAATGTGTATGCCATGCATTACCATGCACTAATTCAATCACAGGTGTTTCTATCTAGATTGAAATGTTTGTCAATGAATATAGAATAGAAACTAAATCTAAACATGACAATAATAGACACACATCTTTGTATGGTACCAATTAGTTTTGCCATGGATCAGATGGTTCATGAAAGTAATAACCATAAAGCAAAAAATAATCTGAAAGCCCATCTATTCCTGTGCTCAATAAAGTTAAGTTTTTCTTCCTTAGAACAGTTTTATGATTTATTTGCCTAGGAGTATGTCAGAAAAATGAGGCTTCTAGTAGGAATTATTCCTATTGCCCCTGAAGTCAGGACCAGTGCCTGTGATCTCCATTACTATATTTTATTGGAGGTATTAACCAACACAGATCAGAGAAAGCAATTGAAGCCAGGCATGGAGGCTGGTGCCCATAATCCCAGCTACTCAGGAAGCTAAAGCTGGAGGATCACTTGAACCCAGGAGTTTAAGGCTGCAGTGAGCTATGATCATGCCACTGTACTCCAGCTTGGGTAACAGATTGAGAGCCTGTCTCATTAAAAAAAAAAAAAAAAAAAAAGCCATTAGACACACAGGAAAAATCCAGAAGGGTAAACTAAAGCTACAATTAATAGGGGAATTTGGAAACAGTGGTAGGATTTACAATACAGAAACAGCTTATGTATAGGATAGCTGTAAGTAAATACTGAAACGCATTATGCCTCTGTAATTGGTGTTGATACATGAACAGAATAGCAGACACAATGCATATGAAAGTTACAGAATATGGTAATAGTGGGATAAAGATGGGTTTTTAATGATGGTAAGATAACTGAAAATAGGTATATAGATACATTCCAAGCAGACTGAAGATCTAATTGTAAAAATGAAAGCATATGGGCCGGGCGCGGTGGCTCACGCCTGTAATCCCAGCACTTTGGGAGGCCGAGATGGGCGGATCACGAGGTCAGGAGATCAAGACCATCCTAACACGGCTAACACGGTGAAACCCTGTCTCTACTAAAAAATACAAAAAACTAGCCGAGAGAGGTTGTGGGCATCTGTAATCCCAGCTACTCAGGAGGCTGAGGCAGGAGAATGGTGCAAGCCCGGGAGGTGGAGCTTGCAGCGAGTTGAGATCAGGCCACTGCACTCCAGCCTGGGCAATAGAGCGAGACTCCGTCTCAAAAAAAAAAAAAAAAAAAAAAGAAAGCATACAAATATTAACTAGAAGAAAATGGGGGAAAACTACATTATATGTGACTTAAAACCTAGAAGAAACAAAACTTGATCAGTTTTAACTACATAAAAATGTTTATAGGACAAGAAAAACACCACCACAACCCAAAGCAAACAATGTATTGAGAGGATTCCAATAATTAAGAATACTTCATACAAAAAGAAATGTAAATGATCTTTAATCTGTAAAGATGCTCACCTTGTTCAGAAGAGAATAAACCAGTTTCTTTTTAGCTTTCACTGGAAAAAGTTTTAAAAACAAATGTATTCGGTGTTGAGGCTGTGGAGAAATAAGGACACACATATGGGAATGGAATGAAAAAGTTAAACTCTGGTTAACGCTCAAGAGTATTTAGGTGGGTGCAGTGGCTCACACCTGTAATCCCAACATTTGGGAGGCCAAGGCGGGCGGATCACTTGAGGTCAGGAGTTTGAGACCATCCTGGCCAACATGGCGAAATCCTGTCTACTGAAAATAAAAAAAAACTAGCTGGGCATGGTGGCAGATGCCTGCTACTCGGGAAGCTGAAGGACAAGAATCACTTGAACCTGGGAGGCCAAGGGATGAGAATCACTTGAACCTGGGAGGCTGAGGGACAAGAATCACTGGGACCCAGGAGGCACAGTTTGCAGTGAGCTAAGATTGTGCCACTGCATTCTAGCCTGGGTGACAGAGTAAGACTCTTGTCTCAAAAAGAGTATTTGGTAATAACCATCAGAATTACATATGCATTTATCCTCTGACTCAGAATTTTAACTTCTTTCTGGGCTCTGAAAGGTGCATTTACAAAAATTTGGAATGCTATATGCAAAAGATCAGAAATACCCAAGTGTATTAAACAGGAAAGTATTACGGTTCATCCACATGAGGGAGTCACAAAACAATGAAGATTTCTGTATAACGTAAAATGGTCACCAGGATAGAGTAAGGGGAAAAGCAAAGTGCAGAACATTTACGGTATACCTACTGGGTTTGTGTAAGAAAGGGTGAGAAATGCGAATGTATGCACATAGGTGTATTTGCTTGTTTCAAAAAGAAACTCGGGTAAACCCAAAGCTAATAAAAATTAGCAGGGGAAGGAAGGAGATGAGGATGGAAGCTACTCTGTGAATGTAACTTTTTTCTAGAGTTTTGACGTTAGAACCATCTAAAATTTAACATGATTGATAAAGTAAAAAATGACCCTAAACCTACCAACACATTGTCTTAGTCTATTCCTGCTGCTGTAACAAAATGCCACAGACTAAGAATTTATAAATAATATTTATTTATTGCACTTCTGGAAGCTGGGGAAGTCTAAGATTTGGCACCAGTAGATTGGTGTCTGGTAAGGGCTTGCTTTCTGCTTCCAGTATGGTGCCTTCTTGCAGTATCGGAAGGGTAAAAGGGACAAACTCTCCCTCAAGCCCTCTTAGAAAGGCACTGATCCCATCCATGAGTGTGGAGCCATCCTGGCCTAATCACCCCCTAAGGGCCCCACCTCTTAATAATGTCAATGCATTGTGGATTAGATAGCAATGTGAATTTTAGAAGTACACAAATGTTCAAACTACAGCATGTATATACATCAAGTTGGTAGTACAAACTACTTCCAAATAACTAGAACACAAGTGTTCACCCATTGGTAGTGAGATGGATTCTAAGGACAAAAAAAACCACAAGTGAATCTAAAACTATAATCACTAGCATTAGCAGTAAAATTATATTGAAACTTTCAATATAATTTATGATAAAGGTAAACAGGCTGATGTCATTAGGAGCTAAGATTTTTGTATTTGTATTAAATACATTCTAAAATCAATAAAAACTCGCCTTTTTTTTTTTTGAGACGGGGTCTTGCTCTGTTGCCCAGGCTGGGGTGCAGTGGTGCAATATCAGCTCACTGTAACCTCTGCCTCCCAGGTTCAAGGGGATTCTCCAGCCTCAGCCTCCTGAGGAGCTGGGATTATAGGTGTGTGCCACCACGCCCAGCTAATTTTTGTATTTTTTGGTAGAGACAGGGTTTCACCATGTTGGCCAGGCTGGGTCTCAAACTCCTGACCTCAAATGATCCACCCGCCTCAACCTCCCAAGGTGCTGGGATTATAGGCGTGAGCCACCGCACCCGGTCTATTTTTACCTTTTAAAAAAAGACTTGCCTAGGTAGGCCCGCTGAAAGGACCTAAATGCAATGATGATAATAGCCATCAGCACTGCCTAGTGCTCAGTGTGGTCTCTAAACACTATTTCCTACAAAAAGGTCCACGAACCCTTGGAAAAAAGTGTCTGAGGCAGGAAATGCACAAAGTAGACCTGGGTTAGCTTATGTCAGAAAGCAAGGAAATACTGAATAATTCTGTACCAATTCAGGAGGATACAGTAAACAACTTAAGGGGCTCCCACTGGTAATGGGACAATTTGAGCATCAAGAAATAATGAATGGAATAGATTGAAACAATATACACAAAATTTGCAAGTTCACTACAGTGAAAAATAAATGATTGTTACCATTTTCATTGGCTAGAGTACCAACTCATTTACTCTAAAAATTGTTAAAGAATCATGCATTTATCTTGAAGAAATATATTTCAGGAAAATAAATTGCTGATAAGGAAAAGTTCTTGACAGAAAAATTCTAGCCAATACAGAAAAATTATGAAATTAGAAAACTACAATTGCAAACCTTAATAAAACAACAGATCAGAGTAACAATCACCAATGAAAAGCAAAAACTGTGCTTGCTTCAGCAGCACATATATTAAAATTGAATGATAGAGAGATTAGCATGGCCCCTGTGCAAGGATGGCATGCAAATTTGTGAAGTATATTAAAATGCTGTAAAACAAAAGCAAAAACCATTGAGTGGCAGGTTAATGAATGTTTAACTTCAAATGCAGGGACCAGGCTGATCCCACCTGAACCTACTGGTCAAGCAGCATTCAAAGTTGGACAGACAGATAACGTGCCTTCTGGTGTAACAGTACACAGCACTGCTGATGAAAATTCATCTCCAAAACACGGAGCCTGAATCTAGGCCAGTCTCAATGTAACTACCAGTTTATAGGGAATTTGGGTGACAGGAATAAATTTAAAAACACACGAAAGAAGCGAACAGCTAAATGTTGGACATTCTACAGGAAAAATGGCCTGGTTTCTCCCACAAATGAATGACATAAAGGAGTGGAGAAGAGGTTTATAGAACAAAAGGGATGTAAGAGATGTAGCAACCAAATGAAATACATGGATCATACTTGGACTTACTCAAAACAAAAAGATGTGGGGTGTCCTTTCAATGATATGCCAGAAATCAGTAAATCTGATTGTTCTAGTTATGATTTGCTTAATACTAGTTACTAGTTATTAGCTAGAACATTCCAGTTGGTAAGTTGTCATACATATTTAAGAAATATGAATCCAAACTAGATTGTGATGATTCCCTCATAACTTCACCTCCACCTGAGTTTCGGACTCTGCTATCCAGCTGCATGCTAGTCTTCATCAGATGACACAGGCATCTCCAACACTGCATGACTGGATGAACTCGCTTATCTTCTGTTTCCCCTAAATCTGTCCTTTTTCCAAATTTTCTATCTTGGAGTTGCCCTCTACCATCTATCTAGACACTTTTATCAGGAACTGAGAGAGCCATCTTTACCTCTTAGATATAATCAGTCTTGTAAGTCTTGCCCAATTTTCTTTCCTAAAACTTTAAAAATCTGTCCTCTCTTCTCTAGTAAATACCACAATGTTAGTTCAGGCCTTCATCTTCCTCAACAATTAAGACATCCTCCTAACTGGTTGTCTTGCCTGTAGCCTTTTCCTCTCATGGCCATCTGCCACACAGCCATCACTTACCTGTGTTACAAACTGATGATGTCATTCCTGTGCTTAAAACTATCTAATACCTGGTATGTCAGTCTTAATTCCTTCACATGATTTGTGAGATCCTCCACTATATGAGCCTTGTCTTGTGCTTCATATATCTGATCCACTGAAGTGACTGTGGTTCTCCGATGCTAGAGTGCCTTTGCTTCTTTGTGCTTTTGTTCCCTGTGTGCAGAAAAAAAATCTCACCCCTCACCTCCTGATTTATTAATAAGTTCTCCAGGAATATTTTCCTGATATTAAGTGGGTACTTCAATATGTGTATTTTTATCAATGGGCTGATCACACTGTTGAGTTACTGAATGAGAACTTTGTGCTACCCTTACTCATTTCTGTTATGAATTAAATAAACATAAAAATATGGAATATATACTGTTCCAACAAAACTTTTCCTCTTTGGATGGAAACCTTCAAGGACTTAAAGAGGCATAATTTGTTTTAAAGTCCCTTAAGGATGGACAAGAAAACACTTAGTGGTTCTTTTGTTCAGCCATCACACAAAGAAGTGGAGCATTAGATAATCCAGAATAGCAGCCTTGCTATCCAATCTACTGTTTATCCAACAATAATAGGAAGGGGAGCTCTGCAGGTCAGGAAAGCTAGCCCAGGATTACAAACTGCCATAAATGAGCTACATGTCAATTAGTTGGATTATGTATAACATTTTATGAAATAATGCTCTTAAAAACAAAAACCCTTATATGTTACTAAAAGATTAAACTTAAAAGGAGGGTATAAAAAACATATTCACAGAAAATATTTATTATACTACTCATTGCACTATGTATGGAACAGTATGTTTATTAAGTCCAAGAGAAAAGATAATTCACTGACATGAAACACCCAAATTTCTTCATTTTAAAAGTAGTTTAGAGATAGCATCAGGTAGGCCAAACAACTGTACTGGGCCCCTGTAGAGCTTAGGGTTTGGTCTATTAAAAAAATCTCTTCTTGCTGGAACTGGTTTCCCTGCAAGCTCAATAGGTTCTGGAGCTCATTTACCACATTGCTCGCTGGATTCCAGAAAGTTGCCCGTGGTCAGCTAAGTGACGGAAGACTATACGACTAAGCCTCCAGCGCCGCTTCACACCACGCGGACGGGACGTCATAACACACCGATTCCTGATTCTAACGGGACAGCTATCCCGGGGGAGGGCAGCAATTTCTTCATCGGCCACGTCCTAAGGGAAATGACATTATTACACAGATCACATTACATTGTTGCACATGTATTTTGCTCCTTCTCACTGGCAGTTAACTTTCTTTTTTCCTTTTTTTTTTTGAGACAGAGTCTCGCTCTGTCATCCAGGCTATGGGTGACAGATTGTGCAATGTCACAATCTCGGCTCACTGCAACCTCTGCCTCCTGGGTTCAAGTGAGTCTCCTGCCTCAGCCTCCCAAGTAGCTGAGATTACAGGTGTGCACTACCACACTCAGCTAAATTTTGTATTTTTAGTAGAGACGGGGTTTCGCCACATTGCCCAGGCTGGTCTCAAACTCCTGAGCTCTGGCAATCCACCTGTCTCGGCCTCCCAAAGTGCCAGGATTACAGGTGTGAGCCACAGCACCCGGCCACTGGCAGGTAATTTTCATTGCATGAGTACCATCATTCATTTATCCATCCTTCCTTTGAGGATCATCTGTCTCATCTTCCGATTTGAGCAAATATGAATAGTACAGCTACATACTTTTGTTTAAGTCATTGGTAAAGTATGTGAATGTATTTCTGTTGCCTCCTCACGTTTTTTGAATCACAGAAGTTTGAAACCTCTGGGCCGATGATCAAAGAGGAGGGAATATGGCTTGAGATAAGACTAGACAAGGAGGAAGGAGAGTATCACATGGAGCCCTGATGTTTATGGTAAAGATTCTGACAACTGGAGAAGTAAAGGGGAGAGATCAGATAAGGTTTATATTTTTAAAAAATCATTTGCAAGGTAGAGGATGAATCAGGTAAGGGCAAAGTGGTTGAGGGGAGAAAAGGGGGATTACAGCAGTAGCTAGGGCTCAGGTTTTGTCAGTAGAGATTTCTTCCTATGTATGTGTTCAAGAGTGTGAGTGTTCATAATATTCACTTTAATCTGATAAGCGTGCTGACAAGTATGATGGACCCTGTGCTAGACTGTGGTACAAGCAAAATAATTAACACATTAAAAGAACACAAATTAAATGAAAGTATATACAAACCAAAAATTAACACAAAAGCTTATGCATGTGTTACCATTATGAACTAACAGAATTACATAAAACAACATGATTGCCAGGTGCGGTGGCTCATGCCTGTAATCCCAGCACTTTGGGAGGCTGAGGCAGGCGGATCACCTGAGGTCGGTAGTTTGTGACCGGCCTGACCAACATAGAGAAACCCCGTTTTTACTAAAAAGACAAAATTAGCTGGGTGTGGTGGTGCATGCCTGTAATCCCAGCTGGCCGGGAGGCTAAGGCAGGAGAATCGCTTGAACCCAGGAGGCAGATGTGGTGAGCCGAGATCGTGCCACTGCACTCCAGCCTGGGCAACAAGAGCAAAACCCCATCTCAAAAACAAAACAAAACAAAACAAAAAAACCGAAAAAACAACATGACTGAGCCATTGAGTAGTAAACAATAAATGCTATACAAGGAACTGGAGAGAAGAAATGACTGGGCAGGAAGATTGAAGCCAAGTTTCATGGAGGTGGACTTTAAAGAATTGCTAGAAATTACTGATTGATTGATTGATTGGTTGATACATACCCCTCCTTGTTCCCCGAAAGATTTAAGGCAGTTTACAAATGAGGAAACTGGGGCAAAGAGAAATGAGAGTAGAAAAGATAAAAGCCTCAGGAACACAAAAGTGCATGCTGTGAAAGCCTGTAAGTTTGTTAGAACTGGGACATAAATTTGACTTGTAACAAACTTAGCAGGCAGCAGAGAACCATGATCAGTTTACATGATTCAGACTCTGCACAGTTATTGCTGCAAGTCATACCAGAGACACTTCTTCTGGGTGTCTTCATAAAGGTACTCAAACAACACACCCCCAGCTGTATTAAGGTATAACTGACAAATAAAAATTGCATATATTTAAGGCATACGATGTCATGATTTGCTGAACATACACATTGTGAAATGATTACCACAATGAAGCTAATGAACGCATCCTTCACCTCACAAGATTACCTTTTGTGTGTGTGTGTGTTAAGAACACTTCAGATCTACTCTCTTAGCAATTTCAAGTACACAATACAGTACTATTGACTATAGTCACGGTGCTGTGCATTAGCTCCACAGAATTGATTCATCTTACAACAGAAAGTACACGCTTTGACCAGTATCTCCTGATTTCCCCCTGCCCCCCATACCTCCCATACACCCTAGTCCTCCTAGCTCCAAGCAGCCACCATCCTGCTTCCCTGCCTCTATGATCAACGTCTCGAGCTCAGTTTCTTGGGGTACCCATATATATATATATATATTTTTCAGACACAGTCTTGCTCTGTCACCCAGGCTGGAGTGTAGTGGCATGATCTCGGTTCACTGCAACCTCTGCCTCCCAAGTTCAAGCAATTCTCCTGGCTCAGCCTCCCGAGTAGCTGGGATTACAGGTATGTGCCACTTGCACCCATCTAAGTTTTGTATTTTCAGTAGAGACAGGGTTTGGCCAGGTTGGTCTTGAACTCCTGACCTCAGGTGATCTGTCCGCCTCGGCTTCCCAAAGTGCTGGGATAACAGGCGTGAGCCACTGTGCCTGGCCTGCCACTTCTTATTACTCCCTAAATGTAGGAAAGTAGCTTAATGCCACTTTAGTGTAAGCCATAACCCAGTGGTCCAAGGCCCTCAGTTTTCTGCTCCTCTGGCTTAATCCAGACAACACTAAAAAGAAACCATAGTAATAAATAGGATGTATATCATTCTGTCAACTTCTCTAAATGTAGTTTTTTAAAAATCTGAGTTCTCAGTAAGTTGAGTGGC